TGTTTTGAAGCTCTTTGACTCTTTGATTACTTGTCATTTCCCCATCTGCATTTGAACACGATGACGCACTGGGCCTAAAGGTTACGGTCCACATATAATATAAATAAGCTATCAAAACGGCTCAGCTCTGCAATGTACGCGATAAAGAACAAACGAACAAAAACTTTCAGACGTCGAAACAGCTAGATTGGTTTACTTCAGCTACTTTCACAGTTTAATGACATACGGCATTTTGCTTTGGGGCAATGCCGCCGATATTAATAGAATTTATCCTGCAGAAACGTGCGGTTAAGGCAATTTACAATCTGGGCCCCAGAGTGTCTATGAGAGACAAGCTTAAAGAGATTAACATTCTTACACTAACGTCACATTACATTTATGAAAATGTGATTTATGTTAAGAAAAATAATTTTTTTTTTAAGAGAAATAGTGACAGACATAACATTAATACGAGCAATAAAAATAAACTAGCTGTGAGACAGTCGTCTTCATAAAGTCTCAAAATCATTTAAGGGGCAATGTATACGCTTCTATAATAAAATTCCGATTGATATTCAAAATTTGCCATTTACGAGGCTTAAAACTGTTGTGAAACAAAAACTTTATACTAAAGGTTATTATATAACTTCTGCGTTTAGCTCTTTTAGGTATTTGTAAGATGTTTAAATGAAATATTGTAATGATAAATTTATTCAAATGTATATTTACAAAGAGCAATGCCTAGCGTTTCTTGCTCATTCTTCTCAGGGAAATCTGCCTTACGAATGAGCAGCTGAGTTTAATCAGTATGATGATTTCATATGTATTTTGCTTACCTATGAAATAAATATTATTTGGCTTTCACTTTACTTTGACTTTGAATCGTGAATTGATATGATGGTCACAAATGCATATAATAACATTTGTTTTCGGCAAGTTGTTAATTGAAATTTAAGACCATCTCGCAGTACACTTGGAAAGTTATTTTGGCCTTCCCTCATATTTATGTTTATTTTTCGACGATCGTTTTAGTAGTAGGTACCAATTATATAATATTTTCAGTTAACACCTCATTGTGAAGATATCCTATTAAGATGTGTGTGGAACGAACAACCGAAAAATTGTTCAGACTTATTAGATTTTCGCCTTACTGCAAATGGATACTGCTGCACCTTCAATTACCTTCGAGAATCCGATACGTTTGAAGAGTATGTTTCTTATGATATTTTTAATCGATTTTAAATAATCTCAGTACAGAGTACTAAAAAAACCGACCTCAAAAGTACGTGGAATTACATATAATTACCAAGTTTTATTGAAATCAGTTACCGAAAAGTGCGCAAACCCGGATTCATCCCCTAGTTCGCCACTGTACGGGACTTGACACAGGAGATAATAAAAATCGGTTCTCACTACTCAAAGCTTAAAGTATATTGAGAGAAAAACGCCTTGAGTTGGAGAATTGCAAAATCAACCATTAAAATAATTGCTCCTTATAATAAAATTTAGGCGCTATTTATAAAAATCAATCTTTATGCGTGAACAGCCCCCCTTAGAGGTAGATGATTTTTTTCAAAATTAAATGGGATCACTATGCAGGTACCCTCTTTCCGACAAAAAAGAATCAAGAAAATCGGTTCACAAATACGGGAGTTATCGCGAAACATACATAAAAAAAGTCGAATTGAGACCTCCTCCTTTTTTGAAGTCGGTTAAGAAAGGAAGAGGTTTTAAATTCGACTGTATTCTATTGTCTTTTTTGTGTGTGCATGTTACGCGATTACTCCGACATTTGTAAACTGATTTTCATGATTCTTTTTTTATGGAAAGAGGGTACCGCCATACCTTTTTTTTTTTTAAAAAAAAAAAGGTATGGCGGTACCCTCTTTCCATAAAACCGCCATACCTACCACGGAATAATTTATGTGGTCTGTGATACCTACCTAGTACCTCGATAATGGTTCCATTCAAATTTGAAAAAAACGTTTCACCTCGAGGTGGCCAATTAGACCATGAATCCGGCTAATCGGATTTCCATCCCTTTCCGTTAAACTTGGCAAATAGAAGACTCCACAATCTTTTGAGGACGTTTCTTTGTAAAAAAAAATATAATTACTTATTGAGTAATTAACTTCTGTGCGACATTTATTTCTCTGGTATACTGAATCTCTGAGCTGTTAAAAGTAAATACATAAATATGAACGTAATGTCGAGTTCTTAGGTTGTCCCGATTGTTACACATAGGAAATGAAACTATTTTTCCTGATTTAAATCACGTGTATTTGTTTTGTCACGTTTCGGACCCGTTGCAGGTCCCATTGTCACGATTGACGTCAACCGTGACCATTGGACCTGTAGAGGGCCCGAAACGTACAATAACTTTTTAATTTTATTTTCAGCGGAAATAGTAGATCACGAAATATTGACATGTATAAATATGGGAATAAGTCCAATTACGATTACGATCAAGGATTGAAAGTGTTACTTCTATTGAATGAAAGTGATGATTTCTTCTATAATGTGCCGTTAGAGGGCGCTCAGGTAATAATTTCCAGTTCTAAAACATCTTAAATGTACCGTTATCCTACCTATAAAAGATCAACCCGCTCTGTAATAACATATCATTATTTATATCTCAATTAGTTTATTAAATGTTTCTTGAGTTTTCACAATTATTTGGATTTTTATCGTTCGTTACAATTTAGTCTATGTTATAGTTGTCGTTTTTTGTATGTTTCAGTTACAATTTTCTGATGCCTACGATTTCCCAGACGCTCCCAGTGGAAGTTTTGCTATGCAAATGATTAGTCCGAACGTTCAGGTATGTTTAGCTATAGTTTGTAAATTTTTACACCTAAATAGAACAGCCTACGCCTTAAAAGAAAAACAATATTTTAACTATCTTTAAGTACGAGGGAATTTTGCCTACTTATGGATTGATATATTGTCATACCAGTATTGCGGATTGGTATCTCGATTATCCGAGTATAAATATGAAATAGAAATGACATTGTGAACAATTTTAAATTTGTAATTAACTTTTATCGAATGTCAGGATGTTTTACCACTATGATATGCAATTACTTTTTTGTAAAATTACTCCACTAGTTTGTTATAATTATTAAACAAAGATCGTAACACTTAGAAAAAATTCACTTCGATCCGGCTGAATACGAACTAAAGTCTCTTAGCAAACCGTATCAGACGCTGTGTCAAAGCCACGGAACGAACCAACGGACCTCACGAATTCTTCCATGTGGTCGTTGCAGATCTTTGTTTTGGTTTTTAAGGATTTTTATAACCACGTCTAATACTTGATTTTTTAAAAACAACAATTGAACGTTTGAATACTGCCTCTATGATGAATAGCGCGTGTAACGACCTGCACACTGCGACGACAATATACCGCGAGAATGTATGTTTGTGTGGAGTTGAATTAATTGTTTTATTATACTATGTCCGTATTTATGGTCGTTACTTTTAGATGGATGTAATGGTAGCTGCTAGTTTCACAGAAGCATCTCGTGATATCCAACATGTTTCTGTGAAAATGAGGCAATGCCTTTTCTACGACGAGTCTCCCTATCTTCCATTCTACACTTCTAGCGACTGCATGCTTAAGTGCAGGATGCTCTTTATGCTGGAAAAATGCAATTGCACTCCTTTTAACATGCCAAAGATTTTGAATACTAAAACATGTGACATGAGTGATATATTGTGTCTTAGGACTTATTATGGTGAGTTGATAAATAATTTTTATAAAATGACTTTTTTATGATACCAATTGACGGAACGAAGAAGTCGTGCGCCTGGTGGTAAGCGACACACCTGTCGGTAACAGTTGCAGTGCCGCTCAGAGCTTTGAATCGTAACGATCTAACCACTGCCACTGCACCGTCACCCTGCGACATACGTTGATAACTCTGTGGTTTGTAATTTTACCAGCACCCTACCGGAACGCAGTGCTTGGCGGCGGAAATAGATACGGTGGCAGTACTTTCCTGGAATAACCTTTTCAGAAGGAGCTCTACTGCTATTAAATTGCAATAGTAAACTTTGTCATTAGAAGCGTATTTTCAGTTTGATACGACTTGTTTAGTCTCCTAGTGTACGGTTACACCGGTAGTTACGGGAAAACAAGATTTTTGAGTAGCAACCACGAAATGGAAACGTGTGTAGAACAATTCCCTTTAACTCTGTACTCATCTACTTGGTGAAGTCTGACGGGTGGAACCTGAATAATATATCAACTTAGTATACTTAAAACACAACACTAACATTGTAAAAATTCCCGAAAGTATTTTTTTTAAATCAAATTACATTTTTCTCTAACAGCCCAATCTATAAGCACCAGGCCGACAGATGTAGAAAATGTACCTAAGGAGTTGGAGTTAGACTTGGTGAATGGAGGGATTTCCTGTCCAATGTGCTACCCCACTTGTTCAAAAACTACCTACAATTATGATTTCTCCAACGTCAATATTTACCCAGACCAACTTAACTCGTTTGCTGAGATAGATGATTGGCTGTAAGTTTGAAAACATTAAATAGTATCTACTTTTTAACCGATCTTGTTTTTTTTGTGTGTGTTACGCGATAACTCTTTATGATAACTCTTTTGATGATTCTTTTTTGTTGGAAAGAGGATACCTCAGTAGTGATCCCATTTAAATTTTTAGAAAATATTCCACCTCTAAGGGTAGCATACTAGGGGATGAATCCGGTCTCGAGCACTTTCCGGTAACCTATTCCAATAAAACTTGGCAAATAGATGTATGTAATTCCGCGCAATTTTGAGGTCGGTTTTTTTAGTACTCTGTAATGAGATTATTTGGATTCCAATTTGTTGACGTGCAAATTTTGACATCAATTCCAGAACTTGAAATAGGTAGGTAGTCAAACAATATAAACACTGCGATGTGCTCTACTTACCCAATGTTCATCTCTACCTATACCTAACGCATCTGCCGTTTGGGAAACATACTACCTCAAAATAAGGACAAAACAAGTGTTTTACAATTCGTTTATTCGGACCAATACAAATTATTTAGACATATAAATATATAAAAAAGTGTACAGTGTTTCATCGACGTATCTCAAAAGACCTAAACGCACAATTGGGTATCTTGGTCTCGTTCTTAAACGATGCTTTCTCGATCTTTGACTTAGGGCTTCCAATTTTTTGGAGCCAGATTTTCATGTCTTCGATGGCGGTTGGATTACCCTGCATTTGCCCCACGACAGTGCCTTGAGCAGTGTTCATCACCCATCCCTTCAGACCCAATTCGGAAGCACGCCTCTGGGTATGCTTCCTGAAAAACACACCCTGCACTTTCCCAAAAACTTCAAAATCCGATGAAACAAGACCCGTTTTCTTGGTTTGTTGGTTAGTCATATTACTCATGGTGAATGTACTAAAATATTAACAGTTTGACAGAAAAATTTTAGGCTATCAACTTTTGACATTCATTTTGTCATGTAGCACTTGTTTATTTTCGTTGTTTAGGAAACGAATGCATCACATCAATAATATGCCTGCGTTTATTGAAAAGAAAAGGTTGTCATGGAGGTAACAAATCTACTTTGTTCCATAGGGGAGGTGGATTCGAATTTTGTTTAGTCTGTGTGAATACATGTTTCCCAGAAAATACTTTACGGTTTGTGGTAGAGAAACTGTTCTTTTAACCAGCACATATTTACATTAAAATTAGATACGAAACCTTACTGGTTGAAATATTTAAAATCGAGTAATAGATAGCTGAATACTTTGTTGTAGCCGAGGCGCGAATTTTACTGGGACCTCCATTCTACATGTCAAGCATGGAAAGGGAACAGCCGAATGCTACGGGTTGCACGTTATTATGAAATGGTTCGATTTAATCAGTAAGTTTTCAATCGATTTTGTCTGTATATGGTAATGTAATAAATAATAAGTGCTAAGAGAAAAGTTCCTGCTGTGACCATTTACCACAGCCAGTTAAAAGTGGGTTTCCCAAATTTCGTACCTTTTTGAACCTGTGCTGAGTCGTACTCATGCTTGATGAATGCCAAATTCGGACCTTGTTCCACCTTTCATTAAATCTTATTCTAATAATTGTTCAGGATACTTACATAATACGTTCACTTTCGTTCGATACGTTCTTTTTTCAAAAGTGTTGAGATCTATCGAATATATAAAACACGGTATTTTAGTTAATAATATAAAATTTAATACAGTGTAAAGAAAATAAGGAATATTAATGACTCTGCAAAGGATATTTCATATAAATATTCAATACATAAAATTTTATCCTTTGACTTTCTCGTAAACAGATGTAGAAGAGGTGTCAAGCGCGTAATACCGTAAACCTAAAAATGATGACTAAATTTTGTACAGTGTTAAATCAATATTAAAATGTGTAATTATTAACAGGTAACATTGGATCAACTTGCGGCTTTGTGACCGGCTTCAGCTTCGTTTCTCTACTGGAGTTTTTATATTTTTACTCTATAAAGTTGATCAGGGATATTCAATTGCGCCGCTCTCAGGAACGAAAACAAACACATGTTAACGTCGAGCCACAAGAACATTCTATGCCTGCGCACTTTGCGCCTATTACAAGATACAGATCGATATATTGGAACGAATTTGCAAGCTCACGATTTGGACATACTCATGCGTCTATTAAATAAACTAGTACAGTATTTATATTATGTTCAATTAATTATCAGTAACCAGGGTTCGAAGTGATAATTTGAATTCATCACGATAATTATCTTGATAAATAAACTTTGATAATTTATCTTGATATTTAAAAAAATAATTGAAACAACAAATGCTATAGCATTGTCATGTGTCATGGGTTTGTAACAGAGACTTATCCAAACTTATCAAATATCAGTTTCAAAGAAGTCACAAACCAAGTCCTTGTTGTCTGAGTATTCATCGTGTTTATTTAGTTTTCTCACTGTCATTTTTAACCAAAAATTAAAGAAACAATGCTATGAATTAGGATGGATAATCATCGGATATATATCGGATAGGTATCAGATAATTATTATATAATTATCAAAGAACATCAATACTTATCTTGATAATTTCAAACCCTGTCTATAACTAATTTATGAAAAATTAGCACGATTTATAGATCGTAGATGCTAACTGCATTGTAAATTATGATTTTTTTATATTAGCGGGTAACATTTAGACTATAAGGTGTGTATCTTACACAATAGGCGCCTTGACGTCTACTTGCGGACACCAGCACGTTATAAGGTTATATTTTACAGGGTTATAGTATATTACATTATAAGGTTAAGTTGATTCGGAACGGAATTGCCGTTTCTTATCGATGTATATATATTATATATACAGGGTGATTGGTAACTCGATACATTCCTTTTAACGGGTGAAAGTAGACATAATTTGAAGCAAATTAAATCAAGTTATACCCTGTCCAAAAATTAGTAGTTTCGAAGATATTGAAGATTTAAAGTTTTTTAAAAAAAATCCCGATTCTCTGCTTTGTTATTTTTTTGGAATTTTATTTCTGTCCGTTTCTGGTTTGTTTTCATTTTATCTAGTAGTTATTTAATTGAAGTTATTGTTTAATAGCAATAGAGTACGAAATAACTGTTAAATTTGCCATAGTGGTTCAAAAATGATGAGAACTACCGAAAAAGAAACAACAATTTATTTATTAAAAGGAGTGCCTTGTAAAAAAAATTATATGGAACGATGTGTACAAATTGCTTAAATTACTTCTTTGTACTGTTACCTATTCAAAACAGTAAAAATGTTAACTACAATGTTAATTTTTCTAATACAAAAGTGATGAAAATCAAGAACAAATTGCGAGTTCACTACACTTGATTTTATGGTAAAATAAGTTTTAGAGGGAAAATGTTAAAGAAATGTTGACACTTGACAATCTGTAACGTTTATTACCTTAAAGTACAAACTCTTAACTAAGTTATTCTAAATTTTATACATTTATTGTAAGTCCTGCTCAAAATGGGAACCTCGGTTCCTAATACACGCTCTTAGTCTTCTGCGTACTTCACTTGTCGTTACCCGCGATGTTATAATTGTTCTTATTTGTTCAGCTGCGTCAATTATTCTCTGTCTCAGCTCATCTAATGAATTTACGGGCGTTTCATACACCAAACTTTTCATATGCCCCCATAATTAAAAATCGCACGGTGTCAAATCTGGGCACCGTGCTGGCCAAGGAATCGACCCGCCTCGACCAATCCAACGGCCTGGATAATTCGTGTCCAGCCATTGTCGCACACCTAGGCGGAAGTGAGCTGGGCAGCCATCATGCTGGTAAATCAGATTTAAAAATGTTCTAATGGGTACATCTTCTAACAATACAGACAAATTATCCCTCAAGAAATTTTCGTACATCTCTCCATTTAAATGGTCAGGGAAAAAGTAAGGCTCGATTAAATGTCTGCCAATGATTCCCATCCAGAAGTTAAGGGAAAACCTTCTCTGGTGGGAAGCTTCTTTTTTTTTTCGTGTGTTTTCACGTCTCGGGTTCCAAAAATGTGCATTGTGGAAATTTGTGATTCCGTCGCGATCAAACTTGGTCCGTCTGTCCATAATATTCTTGACAAAAAATTTGGGTCTTCCAGATCGGCATTAATCATGAAACGGCAATAATCTAACCTTCTAACTGGATCTCCTTCCTCCTATCCTTGCACAGGAATGTAATGGTACGGGTACAGGCCAGCGGTATGAACAGTGAACCACACTTTCCATTGTGCTGTGCCAAGTAGCCTGGCTACAATCTTAGTAGAAGTGGTAGGGTCTCTTCTAAAAGCCTCTAATATTTCCTCTTCTTCCACTGGAACAAAACGTGTAGGCCTGCCACAATTTCTACGCGTTCGAGTGTTGTCGATGCCGTCCCGCCTCAAACGCGTGTACGTGACAGAAAACACTCTCTCGTTTGGTACACGACGATTAGGGTAGCGCCGCATGTACTCCCTTCGTGCCGCAGCAGCATTACCATCACAAAAACCGTAACAGAACACAATATCCGCGTGTTCTTCGTTCGTAGACTCAGACATTTTATCACTGACGTAACCAAAAAAACTTCGAAAAGTAGAATGCAACGACACGTCCGTACTCAAGAATAGTTGAAGCCAACTAAACTAAAATAATATTAAATGGTTTTTGAATACTTTACAAAGGTCCCGATTGATGCCGAGGCTAAACAAAAGAATTTAGATACATCAGCTCCAGGTGAACTGTTAACAGAGAGCAGTTGGGTTCGTATTTTTAAGAAACGCTCGTCCGACCCACAATTGTATTGTTCCACAAACTTGTAACTTATCTCTTATTTAGTACAACATATGTACTTTTTGAATAAGTAACAATATACAAAGAAGTAATTTAAGTAATTTGTACACATCGTTCCATATAATTTTTTTACAAGGCACTCCTTTTAATAAATAAATTGTTGTTTTTTTTTCGGTAGTTCTCATCATTTTTGAACCATAATGGCAAATTTAACAGTTATTTCGTACTCTATTGCTATTAAAGAATAACTTTAATTCAATAACTACTAGATAAAATGAAAACAAACCAGAAACGGACAGAAATAAAATTAAAAAAAAAATTAGAAAACTGAGAATCGGGATTATTTAAAAAAAATTTAAATCTTCAATATCTTCGAAACTACTAATTTTCGGACAGGGTATAACTTGACTTAATTTGCTTCAAATTAGGTCTACTTTCACCCCTTAAAAGGAATGTATCGAGTTACCAATCACCCTATATATATGTATATATATTTTTAAAAATCCAAGTACATAATTAAGCATATGGCGTGGTTCTCATATAGATTAGTATCTCTATAAAACTTTGTGCTGTATTTCATTAATTATCCAATTGTATGCTATTATGACTATTGTGAACCTTCAAAATAATGCGTAACGACGCACGAAATAATGTAGTAAAAACTCAGTGTCAACATTTGTTTATTTTATTCTATTGTAACTTCATGATGTGGTACGATTAAAATGGACACTAAAGAGTCTGCTAAAAGATATTTCGAAATATGGGCTACGGGGATTAAGAAGTTTCCCGACACAACATCGATTCATGGCTTCAGATTCGTTGCCGATTCTAAAAGACATTGGTTCGAAAGGCAAGTACATATATATATATACTTTTTTTTATTAAAAATATAAGTGCGCATTTGTCCTCCATCTCATGAGGTCGGCTATAAAGAATGGACACTTAAATAATACCTATTCACTCTCGCCTTGAAAAGAGCAAGTCACAGAGCAAGTCTGAACACCTACCTACTTACAAATGAATTATCATGCGCCCGACGAAATATATCTTTAATCACGTTTTTGATATTTGCGTACTTTGTTGACTTTAATTCTAGTGAGTAAAGAGAAGATTTAGTAACAAAGATAGAGAAAGGGATGCTTAAATGATTAGAACATAGAAAGAAAATGAATAAAAGAAGATTGACTCCAAAGAAAGATCTGATCAAGAGTACTCTTAATCGACGAGATACGAAAGCAGTGATTGCAAGCGTTGATTGGTCGAAAGAGGTGTGTCAGGATATAAGCAAGTGGAAGGCTGTTACCTCCGCCTACCAATATGGGAAAAGGGTGTCAAGTATACCGCACTTTTAATACAATAGTGTATTTACTCAAAAAGTCTATATTTTCCAGAATCGATGAATCGGTTCTCATATTCACATTGACAAGCAAAGTTACTTAGCCATGGTCAGCAGCTGTATTTTAAATATGGCCACGTGTGTGTCCATAATACTATAAAAAAAAATGTTGTGCCGCTCTGACAAAGCAAGTTGTGTAGGTCTTGGGTCGGATTCCCAGTCCAGGGCTTCTGGATAGCCTCCGTGGATTTTGTTTTGTTTCTCCGGTACTTAAAGTACCTACAGGAAATTCTTTAATTGTAGGTACTCAATATCCGATATATTAACTGTTGTAAACATTGTTCTCATTTCCAGATTATTCTGGTGTGTATTAGTAGCGTTATCCTGGTATGGTTCAGCTCTGCTGATTGCTGCCCAGTATGATGCTTTTCAGAACAATCCGATTTCTTTCGTCGTGGAAACAACGTATAAAGACTGGAATACTGACTTCCCGTCGGTCTCCGTCTGCGAGAATGATAACTCGAAACGTATTGAAGAAGTGTCTGATAGGTAAATTACACATGACCTTTCTGTTTTAAAAAATATGGCTCATATACTAGGTGTTTATTTATTTTATTTAGAAAACTATACATTACATAATGTAACATTTAAGCTTAAAAAGTAAGTGCGTCTGCACTTAAAGAACATCATATATCCAATGGCAATATATAAGAAAATTTAAAAAAAAATTATAACATAACAAAAAGCAGTTATTTGTGTCCATGTATACATACATATAACTAATAATTCTATATAATAAGATGAAACTTTAGAGAAAATAAAAATATATAGGTATCAGGTAGTAACAGTACAGCTCCTTGTGCATAAGTTCGTCCAGGTTAGTACCGCCACGCTAATTCTATATATCAGCTATTTCTGCTGCCATTATTCTAAGGTTTGTTGCGATTGCTACACACTGGAAATAATACTATTTTTATTTCCGATATCCGCGTATATTTGTTTCTGACTGAAAGTCGACCGTGATTCGAAATATTGGTTTCTTCCTTAGATTTTTGCGATTTAAAGCCCCGAGTTGCACAATGACGGGCGGGTCGTTTACTACCAGACACACGGCTTGTTCATCCCGTCATGCGTCACTTGGTACAACAAAATATATATATATTATTCTCTCTTACAGTTTATGGGGAGAACACGACTTCAATATAGAGGAGGTTTTGAAAGAGCTGGCTTATTTCAAAGGGATTACATACTACACATCAGAATTTTGTGGTTTTGAAAATCCTTTGCCTGATTGTATTAAGAGCAATCTCAGCTACTACGCTAGTTTGGTAATACAAATATCAGTTGTGTGAATGGATTATTTAAGCAATAAAATTACAAATTTTGTCATAGATAATTCTTTCACATTAACACCTCCCTATGATAATGCAAATAAGCAAGTTATGTTGCTAGAGAAACAGAATTTCGTCGCCTTACTTTCTCAGACTCGTATCTTAAAGCACAAAGAAACTGAAATGCTAAAAATGGATTGTATATACAAATGTTGCAAGCAAATTTCACGTCACATTTCCTTCATATTCAACAACTGGCGTCTACTTATTCTTCAAGTAATGCATCCAAATTAACATCCTTGATAAGAAATTTAAAATAAATAGAAAGTTTTGCCATCTTCTGAAGAATCACGCTTTGTAAGATACGAGTTTGAGAAAGTAAGGCTTCGATTTGCCAATTCGGATGCTTTTATACCTAAAGTTCATCTTCTCCCGTGAACGTACTCCGTACCGGGATAACGTGACATGATGTAGTTTTTTTTTAACACAAGATGTTGGCTCACTACAATTTTAAGTGGTGACCAGGAATATGATAACTGGATCTCAGTATAGTGAACAACTAGAAGTGTCCAATTAAAACTTAAACGATGGTTTCGTTAAAAATCGTTGAAACAACAAAATATTTTTCTAAATGTCTGAAGTATTTACACTTTTTAACCGACTTCAAAAAAGGAGGAGGTTCTCAATTCGACTATATGTTTTTTTTGTATGTATGTTACGCGATAACTCCGGTATTTGTGAACCGATTTTCATGATTCTTTTTTGTTGGAAAGAAGGTATCTGCATAGTGGTCCCATTAATTTTAAAGAAAATCATCCACCTCTAAGGGTGGCTGTTCACGCATGAAGATTCATTTTTATAAAGAGCGCCTAAATTTTATTATAAGCAGCAATTAATTTAATGGTTGATTTTGCCATTCTCCAGTTCAAGGCGTATTTCTCTCAATATACTTTGAGAAGTGAGAACCGATTTTTATTATATTTTAGTGGCGAACTAGGGGATGAATCCGGGTTTGCGCACTACCCGGTAACCGATTTCAATAAAACATGGTGATTTTATGTAGTTCCACGTACTTTTGAGGTCGGTTTTTTAGTACTCTGTACTGAAATTATCACTTCTTCTCATCGTATCACATACGTATCTGCACTATAAAGTAGCCTTCGATACGATAAGAAGAATGCTTGGAATCGTGCTCAAAGGAGTTGCCAATCAGCATAAGCTACTCACCGATTGTTGCTCGGGGTGCTCCGGACGTACCTACAGAGAAGGACTGGTGCGTCGCGCGGGTAGGCTCCTTTCATGCACGCCACTTCATACATATGATCAAAGTCAATTTAAACATCACAGGAAATTAGAAATAAGATTATAAATGTCTATATGCCTACAATTTTACACTAAATAATTTCGTCTATCGCGGTGTTGCAGGATTTTTTCGATAGAAAAAAGTATTTCATATTAGCGAGAGACGAAAATATATGTAGGTAAATAAGCATTCATGATGATGATGAAGCATTCGTTTATCCGACCCATATCCGACCACTATTTAAATCCAGGAAAACACTTCAATGCGTTTTAGTAATATGTTTTGTTTATTAGTTATCTCTTTGACATTCTAATTTCCAGGTCCGAAGTCCTTGCGAAGAGACACTTTTGAATTGTTCGTGGAACGGTGAACCTTTCGAATGTTGTTCATATTTCAGACCTCTGGAAACGGAATTAGGGACATGTTTCGCTATAAATACAATCCAAGGAAGGTAGGTTTTTTTTTTGCCTCATGAGGTATTTCAACGCGAGCCTACATTTTATGAGGTGAGGTGTGCGCGCTTTTTAATTAATATGAATAAAATAAGAACAGGCGAAGAATTTGCAACAGATCTGACATCGACAAGCGGCCGATAATCACATTAACATTCTTCCATTTAACGTTACAGTACATTTATGAAAATAATATATAATATATATATTATTACATATTATATATTATTATTAACTATTTTTGCCGCCAAGCAGTAACGTCAGCATTGCTGTGTTCCGGTTTTGAAGGATGAGGGTGCTGCCTGGTGAAATTATAGGCACATGGGACTGGGATGTCTCAGGGTGACGGGCGCAGTGGCAGTGCGCCTCTTTCATCTTTGCGTTTTAAAGAGCTGAGTGGCACTGCAACTGTTATGGACAGGCGTGTAGCTTACCATCAGGCGCATGACTTAATCGTCCCCTCAATTGATAGCATAAAAAAATAAACTAGCTGTTTGACGGTCGTCTTAATAAAGTCTCAAATTAATTTAAATATAAAGGGGCATTGTATACGCTTCTATAACAAGATTCCGATTGATATTCAAAATTTCCCGTTTACGGGGTTTAAAACTATTGTGAAACAAAAATTTTATACTAAACATTGACTTACAATTATATGGACGTCTGTCGGGTCCGCGATAAAAAGTGTCCGAACTTATAGGGCGTTAAAATCGTATACAGAGCGTCGTTCACGCTCTAGTCTTCGTTTGTTCGACTGACAGCGAAGCAAGCAAAATTAGACAGTACTGCGATGACATTACAATTTAAATTCAACGTTTTAGCTTTTTCATATTCCTTTACATGTCACTACGTTTAAATAGGTTGACTTGGGACATTTTTTTCGTGGTTTTTATTAGACCCGTCGTCCATTTATTTGTAAGTCAATGATACTAAAGGTTATTATACAACTTCTGTGTACTTGGATGACACCAATCCGTGGTATTGACCCGTTTAGCTCTTTCATGCATTCTCGATCATTTTTAAATTAAATATTGCAATATCATTACATGTATTAAAATGTATATTCACAAAGAGCAACCCCTAGAGTTTCTTGCTCTTCCTTCTCAGGGGAATCTGCCTTACGAATGAGCAGTAGAGCTTAATCAGTATGACAACTTCAAGTGTAATTTGCTTAATATCTCAATAACTTGGCACATTTTATTTATTTATTTATTTTTATTTTTATTTATTTATTTTAAACACTATACATATAAATTATGTGCAAAGTTATGTACATATTATATTCGTAAATAATTCGTTTGATATTTTTGTTTTGCCTGTTTTCAGGGTTTTATATAATCGGGTAAAGTCGTATAACAAATGAGCACATTCTTTAGACAATATCCTTCGGTGTATCGTACATTTTTGTACGACCGGTATTTAATAGTAAATACCCAAATAATTTGATCTAGCAAAACAGTTTTTCTTTGTTTGTTCTTGTTTTCACTGCTCTTGTGACTCGTCTTAAGTAATTTAAAAACCCTTGAACCAAAAATTTCAGAGACGCGAACGCCCCAAAATTACCAATGGTTAGTAACAGAACAACAGGTCCAGGAATGTTAAGGTTTCATGTCGATGCAACAGCTAATGTTTATGTATTGAACGAAGAAGAAGTACCTACGTTGACCACCATTGGATCTGATGTATTGAGTGTGGGACCCGAAGTATTTCATCGGTAAAAGGAAGCTTTAAATCGTTTTTTAAAATACTTAAATTTAGAAAAAGTCCAGCTTCAAATAAATGCACGTTGGAAATTTTACTTTTTCCTATTTATTCATAAAAGTATATAAAGTTACATAAGTAGGTAGATATCTGAATATGATATCAGTTTTATCATGTATAGTTGCATATCAATAATAATCTAATTCGGTAATTTATCATAATTTAACTGAACCCAAAATAAAGCATGAGGAAATATAGTTACGAAGAAAAATCACAAGCACCATTTGCTTTTACAGACGTTTCATCACGTTAAGAAATGTGGAGAATGATTACGGTGCACGTTTAATTTCTCCAGAGAAACGAAAGTGTCGATATACAGATGAGAACTCATTAAAAGTCTACCGGCATTATTCGTACACAGCTTGTACCGTTCAATGTAGGAAGGACGCTCAAATTAAACTATGTAATTGCACTAACTACTTCACTCCTAACGTGGCAGAGCACGAGAAATGTGACGTCAAAGGCATCATTTGTTTGAACGATCATCTCAATGAACTCTCTGTAAGTGGATTCTATAGACCTTTGGTCCCGTTCTTAAGAGCAGATAGAAACCTTAAATTTATTTTTTTAAATTCTGAAGTCTTATTATTATTTCAGGTGCTAAAAGCAAGTTGGTCGTTTCGACCAGGTTTATATTGCAACTGCCTGCCCTCGTGCACAGAAGCAGAGATATCAATAATGAAGGATTTCAAAGTGATAACAGGAGACCCATACGCTACGGTCCAGATAGAACTTGCTATGTTACCAAGTGAAAAATATAGGAGAAATGTAGTAAGAGGTGTTTTGGATTTAGTGGGTAAGAAAAGGTTCCGGATTGTATTGAATGTTACAATAATGCCATATTTGTTATATCTATACAGTTATATTTGTGGATTTGCAGTATCTACAGGTGGGACATGTGGCCTCTTTCTAGGAGTAAGCATCCTCAGTATTGTAGAACTTCTGTACATCCTCATAGTCCGACCATTCTGTGATATCTACAGTCAACGTGATGATGACCCATGGTTTAGAAAGTTTGAAAATAGGAAAATCGAAGATAGCAAGTTCGCTTCTAAATTGGACTGGCGATACCACAAAACCAACGATCATGATAATGACAGGCAATCCAAGCAACGCACTGAATTTGTCAATCGTTAGATATTCATGCACGTGGTTTGTTTACGAACGGACATTATTGCACCAATATACCATAGTTTCGATTGTTTCGGTACAGATTTGTATCTCACGCTATGAATTCTAATATAAGCTTCGCGTGTCACATAGAGTTTTGGGTATAGATATGACAAGATACTAGACAAGCCAGTTTAAAGAAGTTGTCTTAGATTTGAGGAAATATTCTCATTAATACGCGTCTTGCTTATAGAGTTCATGTTACTTTTGAATGCAATATCTTTCCACGATTTCATTAAATATGTTCATAACACTGATCTTGTAATCTTCATTTTCTTGCATCATTTTCTTAATGAACGAAGCTTTATCTTTCGAAAGAATTTCGTTAAATTGTACAGCGTCACAGAAAATACTTTTTGTAAGTTCGTCGTCAACCCAAAATTGTGGAATTAAACATGCACAAACGACTACACCCCAGAGTCTGTACTCTTCTGAAGTTGCCAAGAATTCTTCTTTTGGTAGGACGTCATTGATACGAACACTATTGTCGTTAAGTACTATTTTAAGTTGTTCGTAATAATAATTCAGAAACATTTTCATATTTTCTTCACGAAATTTAGGTTCCAAGTTACAATACAGAAGCAACATGACATCGGCAGCAGGAGGTTGACATTTGACTGCTTGAAAATCGACCAGCACACAATCATCTGGTTCATTCGTATCAGCTTTGTAATGAAAGAGGACATTGTTGACCCACAAATCACGATGACATATTACTTTTGTCCGTTTCGGTGAAGATTCACTGAGATTGCAAGCGGTATTCCAAATATCGGTCCAACGACTCTCAATTTCTTTCATAACTTTACTATCTGTGTGATATTTGGAATAAATCCTAACAGCTTCCAGTACTCCTGTCATACATTGTATGTACCAAGGATCTGTGCTGATGTAGGCGCCGTTATCTAAGTACTGTCCAAATTCATCATTTATACTAAAAGGCTTTCGAAGCTCTTTACTCTTTTTGATTTCAAAAATTATAGATGAACCGTGGAATCTGCTAAGAGTCTGTAAGGCCTGCAATGTGTGCGCGGTATCAAATCTTTGAAATTTGTTACGTAACGTATATTGCATTGCGTTTAGATCTTGGAATACCATTGCATCATTCAAAGTTGTAATTAATTCAGCACTCCATGGTTTTAGACCTTAAATAATAATAAAAAACATTTATACCGACGGTATATAGATTCAGTATGAAAATTCAGATTCAGTATTTATGGAAATAGAACTTACCGGGAACATACAAAGCCGTTTTAATTACCGAGTAAAAAGTCGATTCTTTTTCAAACAGATTCAACTCTTTGACTACTTTAGCTTTAGCTGCATTTGATCTTGACACTGCTTTAATAAAGAATGACAGAACTTGCTTTTGAGATTTCGACTTCACGACAACTTGTAACCTCCAATAGTCTGACAGAAATCCCAACATTTTGTTACTTGCATTTTTAACAACATAGTTGTAGGTTATATCATTGTTTGTAAATCCACTGCTCTTTAAAACATATTTGACATCTTCCTCAGTAACGTGATTTATATATTCTAAATTATCTTCATTTGTTGTAGTCATTTTAAGACAACAATCACAAAATGTCGGTGCTCGAAAAAATAAATAACTTGCCTGGTGAAATTATTCACAACGATTCTTTTTATACGACAGTTGTGGTTTGTTTTGCCTTACACACACAGTTAGATAGTATACGGTTTAATGACGTTATGTCGTCGTAAGATAAATGTAGGTACAGTACAAATATTTGATTTACGCTATCGTTCGTAATTAATTACACAGTTAGTTAATCTATGCTACAAATATAGAGTAACTTTTCCTTATTATATATTTTATTCAATATTTATTCCTATCTCTGGCGATGTTAAACAGAGAATAATTAATTTATTTTTAACTTTGCGCGGTTTAACGAGTCGACTACTAAATGGCTGCATACAACCAACATCAAAAATAATCTCAGTACGGACTATTAAAAAAACCGACCTCAAAAGTCGTTAGGAATGAGGTGGAGTATTTTCTTAAAATTTAAATGGGACCACTTCTGAGGTACCCTCTTCCCAATAAAAAAACAATCATAAAAATCGGTTAACAAATGCCACCGGAGTTATCGCGTAACATACATACGAAAAAAAACATACATCAGCAACACCAGGCGCTCACTACAAGGAAAAAACAACCTTCGGACACGCTCAGAGAAGTGAAAATAATGTTGCCCGCCTTGTGCAGTCGTACGGAACCGAATGCGCTAGGGTTGTAATTGTAATATAAATTAAATACTTGTTTGAGACTTTGAAATTACAATTATTTGTTTAGTATTAAGCAATAATATATAATATAGAGTTATATAATATAGTAATTTGAAATTATCATTACTTATTTAGTAGTGATGAGAGTACTGTTGCCTCTGAATTGGATGTCGACGGTTCGAATCTCGACTCGGCATGTAGGTACGTATCTCTAAGTTATGTGCATTTCTGAAAGTGTAGTAGCAATACCTCTCGCTAACGGCGAAGGAAAACATTGTGATGAAATCTGCACATTGAAGAAGGGTCAGAGCCTTTGGAAAACGTGTGAATCCCCAACCCGCATCGGGTTAGCGTGGCGGAATACGACCTAAACTCTCTCCTTAGAGGGAGATCTGTGCCCAGCGGTGGGACGACCAATAGGTAGACGATGATAATGATTTAGTATTTAAATCAATGTCAATCATTAATTTAACATCCTTCCACTGAATAATAATTACGCGACTGCGATATTGCTACGATTTTCCTTAAGAAACGTGCCGTATGACCATTCAGATGTGAATGCAACACCCTCTGAGCGTTTGCACTGCCGGCGATACACTCAGCGGTAAGCACTTAACGCGTAACTTCGAGCGAGTGACGGAGATGGGTTATGCCGTAGTCCACCACGCTGCTCCAATGCGGGTTGGGTACTACACACATTTCCCAAGCGTTGTGAATTTTCTTTGACGTGCAGGTTTCATCGCCAGGTTTTCCTTCACCGAAAAGCTCATGGTAAATTTCAAATAAATTTTGCACAAAAATTCCGAGAAACTCCGAGGTGCGAGCCCGAACTCAAATCCACAATCCCAGCTTGACACGCGATAGGTAAAACCATTAGGCTACTACGACCCCCATCATTCGTACATTACTTGTCGAACGCTTTAGAACGAGGCTTTACACGAACAAATATTGTTTGCAAAGCAAACTGTGTTAAACCATTTTAGTTTTATGTTTACTAAAATTACGAGACGTTACAATATATTAGGTACAATTTTACTTAAGTGCTTACTTAAACAAATTTAAATTTGGTACATATCTTTCTAACATTTCGTCCAGTATGTCTGTAACTCTGTTTTCATAATTACTATTTTCTCTAGCTATTTGAATGAACTCTTGGCTACGGGACACCGTGTTGATAGTTGCGGATGTTTCAGGGTTGCAAAACAGCTCTTCCGTCTTGTTTTGACCCATGGCAGATATGGGAACTATTATTCCACTTTGGGTTAAACCAAACAATAGGCTTTCCTCGTAAGAATCTAGCATTACAGATTTGTCAGAGTACACTGTAGAAATATCAATTCCCACATTGTTAAGTTCTCGACTTAGTATATCATAATAGTGATCCTGAACATTTCTCAAATAATTGTGTCGAAAATTTTTGTTTGTGTTAAAATATATAAATGAAGATAAATCTAACATGCCAGAACAGTAAAGTACTGTTTGATAATCTACTATCATTGCATGTACTGTACCGTTGGCCAGAGTTTTTAGCAATATATTATTTTTCCAAATATCTCTATGAAGGACAACGTTCCTATACTTAATACTTGGTTTCATCAAAGTCCATACATCTTCATATAGTTTTGTTATGATTGTTTCAACGTGTCTTTCAAAGTTGGGTAAATCCTTGTATTTGGAGAAAACTTTCAAATAATCAATGACAGCATTTCTGCCAGTGTCTCGCCAGTCTGAACCTAAGGTAGGTTCCTGTAGGTATTCACTGTAATCCTCCCATATTCGGTATGGTCGGCCGAGTTGTTTGGATTTTTTCTCTTCATAGATGTACGATTGTGCGTGAAACTTAGCAATAGCTTCTGCGACCGCTATTGTTTCATTGTATGTAAGAAATTCTTGATTTGGCATTTTGTACCCGAGGACAGCCAAATCCTCGAAGACAAATAAATTCTCTTTGATGTACAGTGGTCTTGGGCACCATCTCTTATATCCTAAGAAAGAAATATTCAGCGGTGTCAAAGGTGTTAAGAGTACGTATACATACATGCACATAACGGATTCATTAAGTTGTTGTTGACTTACCACCGGCTTGATTGAATTGCGTAAAAAGAGAACTCAGCATGCGAAATTCCTTTTCAAAGAAAGGCACTTTTTTCATATATTCAATTTTCCAACTATCGTATAGTGGCGTACACTTCACAAAATATTGTAGCTCCTGCTTAGCGTTATTCTCTTCAATTTCCACGGTCAATTTTAAATGATCACCAAGGTATCCGATCAAATGGTCCGCATAATTCACCAATGACCAATTCAAAATTTTATAATTGCTGTTGTTTGTACTTGAATCAACTATAATGCAAATTTCTTCTCGATTTAACATTTCCATTTTGTTCTTTTGATGTATGTGAACTTTAAATTCCTTTGAGAAAATAAATTCTTAAACCACAAATGCACAGTAACAAATAGGCAACTTATTACTATTTAAACAATGATAGTATAAGTACAGTTAGCGACAAAACTCGTTAACAATTATAGTTTACTTGAAATCTACACACAAACACCAAAGGTTACAGAGGTATAAACAAAACAAAAAACAGTTGTAGAAAATCACTAGCTAAGATAAACCCGGTCGAAATGAATAAAACTGCCTAACCGCATCACAATGAATGTGCTCACACGGATCGCTTTAAACCAGTCAGAAAAGTTCTATTCATGTCATTACATGCCCATGCAATAAGAGTTAAAAAGACGTAAGTACTTTTTTAATTAGCTACCCAAATATTTTACTTTCTGAATTGCGTCACGTATTGACAGTTAAATATTATGTTAATAGGACATGTTACAAGGGCCGTAAGTAGGGAATTACGAACAGACAGACAGATTCAAATTTAATGGCCCAAACGTTTGTAATTGTTGTTCCGTTCATATGGCATACTATGTTTTAAATCATACTTGCGACATAAAATAAAAAAAGGAAAATTTAAATAAATACAATTAAAAAAAAAATTAAAGCATATAGTTGTTGTGTAGTTGTAAAGTATGGCGTGAAGCGGCATTTATTCTGAAAATACTTATTGATTATGTCACTCGGGGATGGGTGGTCGTGGTGCAACTGTAATGAAAAATACTTATAAACCTTTTTGCGAAATAAACAAGCACACAATTAAATGATCTCATAGATAGTAAGACTTTTCGTATGCATAACTCGGAAACAATTACCTTTTTTATGCTGGTTGCCGCACAAGCATCGGAAACATTTTGTCTACGTCTGTGATCTTTTGTACTACGTATAATCATTTGGTTAGGCGAGGAACTATGAGATATAAATGAACAATAAGTATTAATATATATTATTATTATTACAACAGCTAAAGTTAAGAAAAGAAAATATCATTAGTCTACGTATTAAAAGAGTACTTACTCAAAATGTCCTTGAAAAGTCTTGATTTATTGACCTATTATCTAAAAAATATTGTTGTATTATGGTTGTATTAGTTAATGTTGTGTAGTTTATATAAAAATGTCTACTGTTCAAAAACGAGTATGCTAGTACATATGTAGATATCGTTGGTTCAAATAATTTTAATTAATATATTGTGTTATGGTTAAAAATTATTTTTCGTGGCTAATTTTATACTATGGTACACAAGACAATATAGTGGCCATATTCAATGTTTGGTGTCAGTCGTTCTACTATTCAGAAGACACGATTTCAAGAGATCGGCTCATTTAAAAGGTTATCGTCGGCAGAGAATAAAGAATAAAAGAACGGACACTCCGCCCCTCCGTAGTTTTAGATACCGCAACACGCCCCGCACATTGCCGGCCACATTGACTGAATGACAACAAGGCTGCCGGCGAGCCGTTTTCGCGCGAAGACGGCTTTGATATTTGAATATAGTTTTCATTTATTCATTACGAAACTTGTACGTTAATATAAAACATCATTTTACGTTACTATTTATAATGGTCGTGAATTGTTTATCATCATTTTCCGAAAGATGAAACGAAGTAATTTAAAAAAAACTTATGTCTGAGATTCATTCAGTTATTGTTTTCTTCATTTATTTACTGTAGAGTAATATATGTATGCATAAAAAATACAGATTTATTATATCAATATAATGAGACGCCATTACTTCGCGAATTTTCTATTCGTATTGCCGATAAATATTAGGGGAAAGGTGTACGAGATGGTCCTTGGAGGTAAGATGATCCTTTTCAATTGTAGCGAAACTAGTAACGTCATCTAGATATTTTCTTCAGTAAAATGTAGCCCTCAATGTGCCCTCTCATCAGTCAATTCGTAATAGCGTCACTCACATGAGTGACGAGTTCATTTTTGTGGAAAAAAACAAAAATTGTGTGAGTTTGATCTAAGGTAAAGTTGATTAAAAGCTTAGGCACCTTCCATTCTAAGCAATCAATTGCTAAGATTTTTGTATTGGTGGCTTTGTATAATGCTCTATTTACTTTTGTTAATGGCGTGGTAACAGTAGACATCATACAGGTTATTTTGCCGAACAAAAAATAAAAATAAGTAAATTGGGGCAAGATGATTATGGTTTTGGTGTACAAGGTGATCCGTGGGGATCATCTTGTACTGTATATATTGTTACCATTAACAATATATACAGTACAAGATGGTCCATACCATATTTAATTTGTATGTTTTTTTGAGTACTGAAACCTCCTTAATTGAATAGCTTGCAATACGAATAAAATAGTAGAAGACTGGATTTCGTTTACATGATCGATCTCGATTAATAACAAATATAAATGCTTTTTCTTGTTTTAGACCAGGCCGCGTACTTGTAAAAGAAAAACCATTCGTGGTGGGTGGTCGGAAGACTATGATCTAAAGAACTAGAGGCGTAAAAAGTAGGACGCCACGTAAATCGGAAAGTAAATAGTTAGCAGTAGGTACACGTTATGACATTAAAAAGACGGGCTAAAACATAAAGGGTCTGTCAGTTCAATGAAATATTTAGGTGAAAAAAAAACTGTTTTCATCAGATGTGTTAACACATTCCTGTTTAAACAGGAAATCGAGCTCGTAAAGTACATTAAAGAAATGGAGACGAGAGTGGATATCAACTTACCATAAAAACAATATTGCCCACCCTTAGATACCTGTTAGATATAAATTAATTAGGATTATTTATCTCGAAGTTCCATAACTGTTGTTTCATACACCTAGATTACATAAGCGAGGACTTTGTTAAGTCTAAAAAGTTGTTGTTTTCATTTGTTTCTACCAAAACCTACAAATTTTCCTAAATAGAGGCAAGGTGATCCCCTGGATCATCTTGCCCATACCCTTAGGATCATCTTAGATACCCCGGCGTGCAAGACGATCCTTTAATAGGGTTTTAAAAATATTCAAATATAATAATGAAAGATCAAAAAATAAAACGTTTTTAGTAAGACAACATGTAAATAGATAAATTATCATTCATCACTTTTACATCTGCTTTAAGCTGAATATCTTTAAACTACCGCCATTCTCCGTTAAGGGGATCATCTGGTACACCTTTCCCCTACGTAGGTAGTGAATATATCTAAGTATTAACCCTTTGGTCCATCTTCGTAACTGTTTTTCATAACTAGTTACGAAAGAAGATTTTTCCTTCACTGTTTCGTAACCAGTTATTAAAAAGGAATATTTAATCCGTATTCAAAACTCCAGTTACGAAAACGGATGCAAATTTGTTCTTTCCATAACTAGTTACGAAAAAGGCTTACTTTTTTCTCTTTTTGTATCTAGCTACGAAAGTGGATGCTTTTAATCTTCTTTTTATAACTAATAAAATGCAAAAACCAAATAAAATTTTATAGATAACATGGTTGTTGGGTATGTCGTAACGTACTTGAGGTAGAAAATGACAAATTAGTACCAATTACGTTTATTCCTACAAATTAAACCGCATATATTTCCTATGGTTACTTTTTATTTAAAAAATGTATATATTTTTGTATAGGTACCACATTTTTGAATTTAGGAAACGCATACAAAAAGCAAAAAAAACTATAATATAAATTTGAGAATACATCGCACGCATGTATGGTGTTTCTAAACAAACGAGTGTTCCAAAAAATATGTTAATAATGTACCACCGTAATTGGTGTTTTTTTTTATTGACAACCATCAAACAAAAATATATACAGTATTTTTAAAACAAACAATGTGTATGGAAAAAGGACGAAGGACTATTTAATTCCAACATTATTTAATGGTCTTCCTTCACACTTAAAATGTTTGCAAGGTAATAAAAGTTACATAAAAAATGAATTAAAGAAATATTTGTTAGATACATTGTAGTAATTTAGAGAGCTGTAATTGAGTAACAGAATGAAATGTTATGTGATTGTAATGTAAGCGTAGCAATCAAACTCTCCCGATAAACTATTATGAAGTTTGGGAGAACATTATCTTATTTGTAAAAAATGTAATTGACAAGATAAATAAATTAAAAAAGAAAAAAAAGAAAAAAGTAATTAGTGTAACTCCATTCAAATGTAGCAACGCGACTTAGGGCGTGTTCCCATTATGTCGCGACGACAGATAGCCCAGATAGCCGTGCAGTTTAAAGTGTCGTGCCTCGTATATTTAAACGAAGTTGTTCACTTATAGAACGACACGATTAGCTGTCGTTTACAACTTTTTTAACGTTTCGACGACAGACTGCCGTACCAATGGGAAAAGTTAGAACGACAGTCGTCTGACGATAAATAAAACGTCACGATAAAAATGTGACGACAGATAACCGCAGCCTCAAACGATTATGTCGTGTAAACGACAAGGCGACTACCGTGAACTGATAAATTGACGTCACGACCTAGTGGGAACAAACAGACAGAGAAGAAGAGATTCGTTCAACGATAAAATAAACGTTCACGACACAGTTAAAACAGATAGTCGTGATATAAGAACAGGCTAGGCGCGACATTCGTCCAACGATAAATAAAACGTTACGACATAATGGGAACGCGCCCTTATACAGCGTGCCGTGGGTGTACATACCTATGTACATCCACGGCACGCCGTATACGGACGCACACATTCGCATAATCTGACGGTGCACTCGCGTTGCACAGCGCGGGTGATGACCCGCGCTATTCATAATAGAATCGAAGCGTTCGCTCGGTATTTAGAAATCAAATAGTAGATGTAGTCAATGAAACTATTTTTTCGGATAAAAATAGCGGTCACGGGTGACCATGGGACCTGTAAAAGACCCGAAACGTTGGTATTGTTTGAAAAAACAAATACGCAATTAAGATCTGAAAAAATAGTTTAATTTGCTGTATGTAACGATCGCGAAAACTTTGAGAACTCGAAATAGTAGACATGTTTATTTTTGTTTTTATGTTGTTTGTACCACAGTGCCTTGAATTCAGAAATGTTCAACATTTGATTTCAATTTCATAACCATACCTACTCTCATAATCGTGATACCAATTCGCTGGTATCACGATTATGAGAGTACTGATACAAATACTAGTATAATTATTTTTTTTTTATAAGCGACTGTACGAACATATCGTGCGCTTGGTGGCAAGCGACACGCCTATCCATGACAGTTGCAGTGCCATTCAGGGCTTTTAATCGCAAAGATCTTCGGGGCATTCGCACTATGCCCGTCACCCTGGGGCATAAGTTTAACAAGTCCCATGTCAAACTTATGTCCCTTCGAAACCGGAACGCAGTAATGCTCACATTACTGCTTGGCGGCTAAAATAGGTAATTATAGTGAAGTGTTGTGCTGAAGTAGTGGAATATGTTTTTCAAACTTAAATGGGACCAAAAAGAATAATTAAAATCAGCTCACAAATCGGCGAGTAATCGCGTAACAAATATACAAAAAAATACAGTCAACCTCCTTTTTTGAAGTCGGTTAAAAATGGACATAGAATACACCTAGTTGTCGCAAGAAGAACTGAAACTCGTTGACAACGATTGATTGTATCATAATAAACAGGTCTACAATATTAAATGCAATGAAAAAAAAAATGTTTGTAATTGTCATTTATTTTTAAAGTTAACTTACTCTAAACACCAAAGATAGATTCGGTGGCATGCAAATCTAGCAGCGGTTCACTGACTATCTTTTGAAGTCGTTTCTCTTTAATTTTTTCATAGTTGGGCGTCCATAGTTGTGTTGTCTTCGGCGCATATGATCCGTTTAGTTGACTACTTTCATTATCTTCGTCATCACTCGATAATTGGTATACTTCCATGCTAACTTCTTCAACATCTTCGGGTTCCTCTGCCTTTTCATATCCAGATATGTATTGGAGGAATGACGTGCAGAGAAGACTGACTGGAGGAACCATGTGAGGCGCGGCCGACAAAAACTGTAATAAAATAATTATTTGACAATTTCAGTCACTGCTCTGATATTGAATATTAATTTATCTATTTTTAAACCTGTGTAAGCTTAGCCAATTTTCATGGACTGATATACTCCGCCCAAATATTTATTTAACTTTTGACATACGCACGGCTCCGAAGTATAGTAATTATTGACATACAACCAATAAAAAAAATGCAATACTTCCTGGACACTTATTTTTTAATTTTAGTGAAGTGACGTGCTCTTTAGCTCCGATATTTATCGAGCCAACAGTTTATGTAACAAAGATTATTCAAGTTGATAAATTTTGGTACCTATCTAATAAATTGTAATAAATTGTCAAACGCAACATCACAATCCCAATCCGACAATATCTTCTTTTTTGAAACCGCTCATATACACGATTAAAACTATTTCATAAATAAAATCAATTGTTATAAAAAATCGAATCGGAAACGCATTAGGATATCACTAACTGATTAGAATTTAAGCTGTCAAAAGTTAAATAAATGGTTGGACGGAGTATAACCTGGTTTAATTAATTTATTTATTTATTGTATTTGGGTTAACAACAGTACATATTTAGTATAGATTAACAATTTATAAAGATACAATTTTTGAGATTTTAATAATAGATAACCGCATATTACAAATAGGTACTTTCTTACAAATTAAAATTAAATTAAATTTAGATCAAGAGTGCTTGCGTGATATAATAATACAATAAATACAAGTTAATATATATTGTACATTATAACTACATATTTATACACAAACCTACATATACATACCTACCTAAATACATACACCTATATACCCATATAATCATACATATAATATAATACGCCTAGCTGCCACGTAAACCATTTTTTAACTGCGACTTTAGAATGTGTTTGGAAACAAAAAACAAATCCACATCTGCAAATCTCTCATTAAATAATTTAACCAATCGTGTAAAAACCGCGTTCTCATCATAGTTGGTACGGTGGAAAGGAGTGGCAAAAAGCGAAGTATGCCGCGTACGATACTTCGGCACATTAAAATTAATGAATTGAACTAATTCTGGGCTATCAAGCTGACCACGTAGAATATCATATAAGAGACACACATCCAACACTTGACGACGTCCTTAAAGGGAAAGAAGATTATGAGTACAACAGCTCTCCGAGTAGGAAAGATTACTTAGGTTAGATTTAAAGTTTAAATGTTTAACAAACTTACGCTGAATACCTTATATTCGGTTTATGTATTCCATATAACAAGGAGACCGGCTTATATGGGGCTTGCATACTCAAGGATGCTACGTACGTACGCGAAACAGACCACCTTAAAAGTTAAGGGGCATTTAAATGGAATACAAGTTCTAATTACAAAACCTAAATTACGGTAAGCTTTCTGTACGATACACTCTACATGAACAGATAAAAGCATTTTTGCATCAAAGAATACACCCAGATCACGCACCAAGCCTACCCTCTTGATTGTAACCCCATTTAAGTTATAACAAAATATAATAGGATTTCTCTTACGAGTGAAGCTAATAGCTTGACATTTGGCTACACTAACTGTAATTTTGTTAAGTAAATAATATTGTTGAAGCGAATGCTCATGTAAACTTTTTTATCATCAGCATACATAATATGTTTAGAAACTTGAATATAGTCAGTAATATCAAAAATGTACGCATTATAAAATAAAGTTGCAAGATGAGATCCCTGAGGAACCCCAGAAGGTACCATGATGTAGTCTGACTTATATCCACCAATCACAACTACCTGAGAGCGATTTGACAAGTATGAGCGGACCCAACGAAGTAAATCGCCATGTATCCCTAGAGCTTGCAGCTTACAAAGTAGAATGTTATGATCAACGCGATCGAACGCTTTCTCAAAATCAGTATAGATAACATCGACTTGTCCACCACCCTCCATTTCAGTTAACACATAGTTTGAAAAAGCGCCAAATTAGATACTGTTGAGCGCCCCTTAATAAACCTATGCTGAGTATGCGGAATGCCACGGGAAATCAATGGATAAATCTGAGTGTAAATGAATTTTTCAAAAACTTTGCTAATACAATTTAGTACAGAGATTGGACGACAATTATCAATTCGTGAGCGTGAACCTTTTTTATGAATGGGGATGATTTGTGCTTTTTTCCATATACTAGGAAAAACGCAATCCTTAAGGGAATGGCGAAATAAAAGAGAAATAGGCAAGGCAAGACTTTCAGCACATGAAGATAAGAAAAAGGGCGGAACCCCATCAACACCTGCACCCTTACTCTTATCAAGTGCGCATAAAATTTTGTTTACAATTTTTTCATTTACTTCTAAGCATGACAGTACGTCATAAGGCTTATACTTATTAGCATTTAAACAAGAATTAACGGAGTTTACATGACGAGAATGTATGAACACGCTTTCAAAAAATTTATTAAATGCTGAAGAAATTGAGTCCCCATCAGTGTATTCCACAGTATTCAATTTAAATTTGTTAGGATAATTTGATCCCCCTTTCTTAGACTTTACATATTTCCAGAAATATTTTGGGGAATAACGAATGAGTTTTTGACTATTCATAATAAAGCGGTCAAAACACTGGGCCTGGACGACTGCTTCTCTAGAGCGGAGAAGAGAGAATTCGTCATAATCGCGCGGATTGCCGAATTTTTTCCACTTTCTATGCATCTTATATTTCTCCTTTATTACGCGTATCAATGCAGCACTGTACCAAAAAGGATAATAACAATTAAGCTTAGGATGATATATAGGGACCATTAACTTGAAACATTCGTAAAGTTTTGAATAAAATATGTCCACAGCCTCGTCTATGGAGTTTGTGTTTAAAATAGTATGCCAGTCAATATGCGACCTTAAAACCTTTATATTCTAGCTTTTTTTTGCAAAAAACAATTTGCAGTAATTCTCATTTTTTAATTTTTCTTTTATATCATGTACACGTAGTACATTCACAAATATGGAGATAAAATAAAACCACAATAATCCCCGTTATAGCATACGTTGTTTGATACAGCCAATAAAGTTACAATGTAACATTTATGACTTAACAACACAGGTGTTGTTTATATATAATTTGTAAATATGATAATGTAATATTTATACATGTACAAAATTAGAGGATAGTCCTCAGTCGAAATTGTATTATTGTGTAAATATTGACAAATTTGAACACAAAAACGGGACATTTCAGATCGCTTTTATAAAAGAACCAGTTTGATGTTACACTTGAAAAACATGGTAGTGGGTACAAACGATAATTTACAGAAAAAATGGTACAATAAATGCCTTGTTAGTTGTAGTTTGTTAGTAGTTGTTTGTTAAATGTTAAAAAGGGCAGTACAAACTGGAAGACGGACAGGTAGCGGATATAAATTTATCAAGGTATATTTTATGATACTTCAATTGAAATACGGTACAACTTTCAATGCTCTGGGACGGATCGACCTTGGAGTAACACAGTGCATTTCTCTCTATACAAAATGAACTCTGCAACTGCAACTTTTTGTTGTCAAATGTTATTTGTGCCTCCAGCAGAGGAAAAATAAATCATACGACAAAATCCGTTACATGGCATTGAATCGCGATGTCAAAAATCGAATACCGAATTTTGGTTGTTTGAGCCATCCATATCGAGTATCGAGAATCGAGTCCTTGTGCGAACGGCTATCAGATAATAGGTAATTAACACTGTTTGTGTCGTTTGTTACTTTGTCAAAAAAGTTGTTCCAACGACAAGTTAGGCTTGACAATATTTTTTTATATATTAGAATAATTCAAGGATAGTAACTAGATTACTAAAAGTAGATTTTATTATTATTATAATCTCTGTCAAATGGTAAACTTATTTATCTACGCAGCAACAAGGTCACCTATTGTACCCCATCTTTGCCTGTTTCTATTCTTGTTAGTGCAGTGGAGACTATTTGTACCATAAACAGTACCTGAGCAATAGCAGTGTTGCCAAGGGCACCACTATCAATTTGCTGCACGAGTCCGCTGGCCGGCACTTGGACTTCTGACAATTGTTGCTCCGCCAACAGCGCGCTGAAGTTCGATGCGGGAAGGTTTCGGCGGGATATCACTTCCAGCTTACCTTCCGTCGTTTGCTCTGGTTCTAGGCAGAAGATTTCCTGTAATATACAAATACCTGTAGTGTGCCACGACTCAGTGTTTTAATGGTTAAGCATTTTGAGCATTGCGTGAAAATGCTACAGGTACAATTACCGGTTGAATCGGCTCTCTGTCCGATATCAGTCCAAAACAATTACTGTGAAATAAGTAAATCTTGTGGGAGAAACAAATAAATATTATTATTAAATGGATTCTGGTTCAGGCGTTGTATCCGCAACATCTAGGACCAGAATATATTATATGGTGCATCATCTATCTCCTTTCTTTGTGTACGGAAGTAAATTATAACTATCTCTTTCACCTTCTGCTTGATGAAAATGGAATCAAAGCACAGGGAATTTACTCTTAAACTTACCGAGTCATTTCTCATGATATAAAGTCTGACGTCATCTCCTGAAGAGGCGCCGAAAGTGCATTCTTTGAACACTCCCGTCTGAGGGTCGACTAGACGCTTTTGAGTGAGAATTGGCATCGAATTGTGTGGAGTAAATATATATACTGAAATATAAACATAAACTTTGACGTCAATATACAATTAAACGATGGCCCAAAAATCTCAATACAGAGTACTAAAAAACCGACCTCAAAACTGCGTGGAATTACATCTATTCGTCAAGTTTTATTACAATTGGTTACCGGAAAGTGCGCGAAACCGAATTCACCCCATAGTTTGCCACTCTTAGAGGTAAGGAGACTATTTTCTTCAAATTTAAATGCCGGAGTTATCGCGTAACATACATACAAAAAAAACGCAGTCGAATTGAGTAGCTCCTTCTTTTTTTGAAGTCGGTTAAAAAACTTATAATCTATCTTAAATTTCTTAGCTGTAAACCTTTCTAATTAGACCTAGAGTAGGAGTCCCAAACAGTGGTCACATAGGATCTCCCAACAACTAGAGCTACCTGTCAGCGTCACACTCCACCAGGCGACTGAGCGCAACCGATGGAGACAGAAAATTAGCAGGATAAAGTGGAGTCACGATCCTCCGTAGTGAGGAAGTCATTCAGAGCTCTTTTTTTAACCGACTTGAAAAAAGGAGGAGGTTCTCAATTCGACAGTGTTCCTTTTTTTTGTACGTATGTTACGCGATAACTCCGTTATTTGTGAACAGATTTTCATGATTCTTTTTTTGTTGGAAAGGGGGTACTTCCATAGTGGTCCCATTTATTTTGAAGAAAATCATCCACCTCTTAAGGGTGGCTGTTCACGCACGAAGATTCATTTTTATAAATAGCGCCTAAATTTAATTTAGGAGCAATTAGTTTAATGGTCGATTTTGCTATTTCTCCAATTCAAGGCGTTTTTCTCTCAATATACTTTGAGTAGTGAGAACCGATTTTTATTATCTCCAGTGTCAAGTTCTAGTGTGTCCTAGTGGCGAACTAGGGGATATGTCAATAAAACTTAGCAAATAGACGTAATTCCACGTACTTTTGAGGTCGGTTTTTTTAGTACTCTGTACTGAGATTATTTATAATATCAAGTGACGGGACGAACAAGTCGTATATCTGGTAGTGAGCTACACGCCAGACCATAACAGTTGCAGTGCCACACACAGCTTTAAATAGCAAAGATCTGAGGGGCACCGACACCTGCCACCTTGAGACATAAGTTGGTCTAGTGCCATGTGCTTGTAATTTCACCAGCACCCTTATCTTACCCTTCAAAACCGGAACGTAGTAATGCTCATATTACTGCTTAGCGGCAGATATACCTCTCCTACTACTAAGCTCCTTGCGAAAGAGTTCATCCAGAAGTACTGCCACCTTAGCCATTTCTTCTGCTAAGCAGTAATGTGAGCATTACTGCGTTTCGGTTTTGAAACGTAAGGGTATTGGTGAAATTACAGGCACATGGAACTTGTCAACCTATGTCTCAGGGGGTGACGGGTGCAGTAGCAGTGCCCTTCAGATTTTTGTGATTTAAAGCTCTGAGTGACACTGAAACTGTTATGCACTGGCGTGTCGCTTACCACTAGGCGCACGACTTGTGCATCTCGTCAATAGGTATTATAAAAAAAACAAACTTTGGAATTTTAATTAAATTAAATGACTCGATGGTCCAAAGGTTTGCACTGTCAGTACCGGATGAGGACATCCCGGGTTGGCTTCTCGGTAGGACCTATTTAGGAAATGAACTTCTTCCTCTAGTAGGGTGTAGCCCTGAAGTGAAGTAAGATGCTCTGGTACTCATAGTACAGGTAACTTCCTACTTTGAGCATGATGAATAATTATCTGTGCAGTGTTGCAGTGGACGTCTTCCAGGTGATATGATAATGAATAACAAAAACACTGATCTTAAAATTCGATACAAGCTTAACAATTTTAGGGTTCAAGAGTCGCTCAACTTTTGCATTTACTTACTATCATTATTAGTGGAAGCAATAGCCATTTTGTTCGAAAATGGGTCTGCTGCGAGGCAAGTCGTCTTCATTGGCACCAACCACTTCACTGTTAGGGACAGTAAGCTCCACACAGCTAAGCAATTTTGTGTCGTACAAGCTACCTAAAAAAGTTCATTTTTCAATTTAACACTTGTTTTTAATAATATGTACTGATTGAAAATTAAATAAATGTTTTTGCAGTTCAAAGGAAAGAACTATAAAAAAAATGTAAGTGTGTTAATGTATATATATAATATGCTTTATGTACAACTTTATGTCCCTAGGAGGTATATAGTGAGTACGGTATAATGTTTATAAGATTTTAATGATCACCACATTCAGACAATGAATGCAGTCTGTTCAATTTTTTTTACTTCTTTTTTGCGACATGTTGGCCAATGTCATTTATAAAATTGTTTTCAATAGGAGGGTATATAGGTAGGAGTAGGGTAAGGGTGCTGGTGAAATTACAGGCACATGTGCCCCTCAGATAATGCACTTTCAAACTTGGCACTGGAAGTGATATAGACAGGCGTATCCCTTGCCACCGGGCGTACGAGTGCAACCCGTTACTTGATATTATAAAACTTTTATGTATGTGTTTACCTAACACTAACATATGTTAGCCAGCACCTTTACCCTTCAAAACCAGAACGAAGTAATGGTCACTTTACGGGTTGGCGGCAGAAATAGGTAAGGTGGCAGTACTTCTCTGGATGAACTCAGTCTTTGAAGTTAATGTGCAACAGGCGGCCTTGTTGCCATGTAGCAATTTCTTCCAGGCAACCTCAGGATAAAAATTTGGGATATGTAAAAGGATTGTATTTTGTTAAGAAAAATAGCTAAAACACTTACATAGTGAGCAGCGTCTTTATGTCCGAAACGAACGTGAATGCCTTTCGGGCGTAATGCGGGATGTGATAACGTAGTCCTCAAGTTGCATAAATGCGTGTCCCACAAAGTGAGCTTACAGCCAAACCACGCCGCGATCAGCGATCCGTCAAACGACACATCGACTCCACCCATACCATTCTCATCATCTTGCTTCATACCAGGAGTCACAGCAGCGTTGCTCAACAAAGAATGTTCTTTATGTATATCAACGATTTTCCTAACAATGTCGCTTTTTCGCGAGTATTCTCTCAAATACGGTATAGGTTCACCCCTACCAGGCGGTAAAACACCATTTTTATACTTATTTAAAATGTCGTGCGAAAGAAATTGAGCTATTCCAGAAGAGTAATAGCAAGCTGTGAGGCAGACCCATGTAGACGTCATTTCCTTTATTTTATGTTTCTTTTTCATAATAAACTTTTTCGTGGTCTCTCTTTTCCATATTCGGAATTTTTGGTCCGCACCGGCCGAGACACAAATATCGCCTTTGCTCGTAATGGCTATAGATACAACATTACACCCTCCGTGCGAAAGATTGACACAGGTATTCAGCTTGAATGGTGTTGCATCTTTTACTTGAAGAGCCCAGAACTTGAGTCTTTCTTCTGGGTATGTGGTTCCATCGTTTCTGTATTCTGAAGTGACGAGCCAAGAACCGTTGGCGCTGACCGCTGCGCACGTGATTTCTGTTTCGGCTGGGATAAGGTTGTATCGCTCTGGCGGTATTAGGTTCATTCCTGTTATGTCTATCTGTAAAATAAAATTAATATGATATGTTAGTTATGTAATTAAGTTTAAGATACTTTACCAGTTTTTCATTCTCCATTTGTATAGTATTTATCCCTAAAATAAGGAAGACATTACTGGGTGTTTTAAGACACAGAATTAGTATATAGTGGACTGTTTGTCAATTTGAAGGATTTAAATAATTTTTTTTTTATGTTTCTGGAAACGACTGGTCTAACCAACCAAACTGGAGGTAAAAGACAATGAAAGCAGACTCCTTCATTAGACGGGAATAATAATCCTGAGAAAAAAAGAAAGAGACAGAAAAAGAGATGACAAATAAGCAAAAACGACTACGTCTTTGTTAACTTGTCACCATCTAAATCTGATTCTTACAGCACAAGGAGTGTATTTGGTGTGATTATCTGGTATTTTTATTCATAGGTTAATACTTACATTATACAATACTTTGTCAGTAACAGTGGAATAGAGCTGCAAGTGTCCTGTGCGCCCGCCCATTAACAGACCGTCAAGGCGATGGTGGTACACTAAGGGAGTGTCCAGGGCTCTCGCTGCGGGCGATAAGCCTCCGCACTCCAGAATAGTGGACACCACGCGCATTTGAGCATTTGCTATTATTATAGCTGCAAATGAAAATTACGTACATAAAACACAATAAATACATACAAATTTCCACAAGGTCAATTGGCATACCTAACTGTCATGCTTAAAGTGGCATCTACCGATTGTACCAGGGACACCAATATACACATACATTGAAAGTTGGAATTAAACAAAGAAACATTTGCCCATGTGTTTTTCAGTTAGAAATAGAACAATTCTATATCTGTCGTTGGTTATCTTCCAAAATAATAACTTCAAGAGATGCAGCTTCACCAATATTTAAAATCGCAGTTGTCACATGCATGTCTATATCTCGTCTTTCAACGCAACTGGTCTATAAATCCCACGCAGCCCTTGTATCTCATAAAATATCAGATGAAGACATCAATATCATGTTCACTGCCGCAACAAGTATCTCCATAGAGTACTCGACCAACTTTTATTGTAACATTGTAATTTTTAATACACAAGAATCAGCTTTCATTGATGTAAATTTTAATTGAGAATATTTGTCCAAACGGACACAAATTTGTCTGACGTGTCGTGTCGTAGCGCGTCAGAAAGGCGTCGGTTTCAAACATTTAATATGGTTAGATTTATATTAGTGTGTCGCAATGTTACGTGACGGCTTGTGTTTTCTGACGCGTCACGGCACACGTCAGACAAATGTAATGACTTTAGTTTTAAAAGCTAACTCGTCTTTTTTCTTTTTTTTTAATCTATTTTTATGAGGCATAATATATGTCAAACTCGCCTTTTAGAAAAGGTCTTAGTAGTTCATTGAACTAATGTGGTGGTGATATGCACTTACAGTTGTTAGTGAGTGCAGCAGCAACATACGTATTATTAGCAGTAATGTGTCTGATTTGTCCAGGCAGTCGGGGGATGAACATTTTCTCTTTTATCTTGTTGGCCAAATTGCCTAATGTCCATTTCACTAACACTCTTTCCATACCACCGGTGTAGAGGTAGCTTCCTATAGAGAGAAATATTCATTAATTAAGCTATTTAGAACCAAGTAAGGACTTGTGTTGTAAGCAGTTGTTTTTTTAAGTCATATTAGGTGAATGCCTGTTTTCACTTGTAAGTTAAGGACAAATTCAGTAAAATTAATGCAAAAAAAATAATAATATGTTAAATTGTTGTAAGTAAAATTACACTAATTTTAAATGTGCAGATATGGCCTTTTCAATGTGCTTTCACTCAAAATTTGCAGCTTCATGCAATGCAAACACTGAACAATTCTGCAAAAACATAATACTATTACAAACATAATATAACAATTCTGTTAGCGAGAGGTGAAGGACCTTAAGTCCATATTTTTAAAATTAAAGTTTTTACAAATATTGCTTTCGAATTAAGTCAATGTTTCGAACGCTAAAAATCAAGCACTGGTAAAACACATTAAGTCCTGTTCTTATTTGTTTTTTATTTAACATAATTGATTTGACCTTATAATTAATTTTCAATTAAATATACTATTATATTAATAAAATTTAACTCATTCTCTTTATCTCTGTAGTAAAAATTACTATTTAGGACTTGATGAAGTGACCAAGTGACGGGACGAACAAGTTGTGCACCTGATGGTAAGCTACACGCCTGTCCATAACAGTTGTAGTGTCCTCAGAGTTTTAAATCGCAAAGATCTGAGGGGCACTGCCACTGCGCCCGTAACTCTAAGACTTGAGTTGACAAGTCCCATGTGCCTGTAATTTCACCATTTAATTACATCATAATAATTTACTACACAGAAATAAACAAAATTACTATGAACATGATACTGAAGGTAAGTTACACAAACATGTTCCTTGTATTTTGCCAAATAATTTCTTGTTTAATAATTTAAAATTGCTTTTTTTTACTAAATGCTGAATTATATTTTGTAATTTTTACTCAAATAAGTCAAATTATGTGGTCGACCTGTCTCCCAAGATACAGGCTTGTGCCTAGTTTGGGTAATCAAAGTTAAATAATCAATTTGTACGACTATTACTTTTCATGATACCTACTTTGTTTATACCTGTATAAATCATTTTTGTGAAGAACAAAATTATTATTATTAATTACCTTGTAAAGAAAAACAAACAGCTGTAGTAGGCAATAAATGCCAGTGTAATATTTCATTGCCAACGCCATTGTGTTGAAAAAAATTTCCCCTGTACACATGAGCCTGGCCCAGTGCATCTGTGGTGGCTATTGCATTTTCATGTTGGTGCGCAGCTACCGATATCAAGCGGATTCGGTTGATATTTGGGACTCTGCAATCAAAGTTATGCAATGAAGGCCAAAAAAAATCCAAACTAATTGTGAAAAGTCACAAATTATCCGTGGATGTGTGTCCACGGCACCCGCGATAGAGTCCTAATGTCGAGTCGAGTGTGTGTATTATTTATTAAAACTAATTACATAAATTTTTTTTTAACAAAAAAACCACTTTCTTAAACTACATACCTTATATTCTTATGAGGTTGTTGCAAATTTTGAAGAAACAAAAATGATGTTCCGTTAACAATCGCTGCAAATGGTTCATCATTGCTTCGTCCAACTGCAACTTTGATTAAGCTTAGGGAATGTAAAACAACCTGTTGACCTTTGAATTCATACAATAGTTCCCCTGTTTTTACGGAATATGTTGCCATGTGCAAATGTCTGCGACCAGCTGCAGTTACGAAGCATTCATTATTTTCTAGTAAATGAAAGGACAAAACTTTCTTGCCCTCAGGTATTGAAAGTTTCTGAAATAAATAAAATTATTTGATGAATTAAACCACTGCAGCACAAAGTTCTACGTCTTAGCGCTGGTACTGAATATCTGTAGGGATAAAGAGATATGCATCTTGGATAGCCACTATGAATAACAAAGAAGTATTTACGAGTCCTATGAGTTATATAGAACTTATTGTACTCTGCACTAGGTCTAGATTACAGGATTTAATATGTATCCTGCTGCTAGTGATTTTAAACTTGTTATTATCAAGCCTTGCCCACTGAAAACTATTGGTGTTGTAGAAATACAATCATAAGTCCACATTTTATTCCAGTCACTAAAACAACTAAACACTAAATTCATATGATGAAAAGTAGTGTTTTTTCTTGTAATTTGTTCAACAAGATTGTTGCGTGTTGCAATCACTCTATTCTCTATTTTGCAGTGACCATTAAAAATATTCAATTTAATTATATAAAAATTTGGTGAGTTGCACAATTCACATGAAATATTAAACATAAGTATATGATATAATGGTCAACAGTGTTAGGAAATATGTGAGGTCTAGCAGTGGGACACAAAAGCGGTTATGTAAAAAATAAAGTTGTGAACTTACAGTCTCTCTCAGAACCACACCATTTTCCCACGTCCAGGCAGTGACGTAACCAGTGTCAGAGCATGAGAACAAGTTGTAGTCCTCATTTTCGGGGAACTGGATGGCTTTCAGTTCGTTCACTGGCGTTTCTGTCTCGAGCAAGCGAGTACAATCACCCGTTTGTATATTGTACACACGCACAACATTTTCTACAATTACTAATAACAATCTGCAATAAGATAGAATGTAATTCTAGATATTATTGCAAAGTTTGGCTGAGGTCCTAAAACGCAAAAATATTGAAATTAACGTATTCAATTTATACGTACTCTCCGTCAGGCGAAAATATTGGTCGGTGTTCAATGATATTTCTGCCAGCCTTTCTACAGAAGGTATACTTGGTCGATATTTTGTTTTCACTTTCAGTTTTTATGCCCATCTTGTTATTTCATAACTTTTGGATGAAAAATTAAAATAAACAAATCAAATCGAACACATGATATAACCTCAATCACATGTCGCATGTGAATGTGATCACAAACAAACAAAAATGACTGTCGGTTTTTTTATAATCGTTTGAAAAAGGACCGGCTAAAATCAAAGACCATACTGCCACATCTTCAGTGATGAGTAGTGATGAGTTAACAACAATATATACTGTTGGATACTTTTCTAAAAAAATTTAAATAATGGAAATTTTTCTGGGAAAATTTCTAAGAAATTTGGAATTTTTTTTATTGTACAAATAGACTACAAATTAACTGAACTGTTAAATAGCTTTATTTAACATAAACCCTTTTGGGTTTTACCGTACATCGTCTTATCGTTTCACAACTCTTAAATAAAATAGTAAGTTATGTTCTACTACTTTTTAAGGTAACCTTAAAATTTAAACGTCGTGCGATTGCTATTGCAAATGTTTTATACGTTCGTATTGTTGCCACGACGACCACGCACCGGACGACGCTCAGTGGGTAGGCCCCCCACCAGGTGGACCGACGATCTGGTGGAGGTCACGGGAAGCCAATGGATGCAGGCAGCGCAGGACCGATCGTCGTGGAGATCGTTGGGGGAGGCCTATGCCCAGCAGTGGACGTCGTATGGCTGAATGATGATGATGATGATTGTTGCCACAGGGTGAAAAACTTATTTACGACTTTTCAGTTATATTTTTAAATGAAGTCTTGTGAAGCACACTTAAATATATTAAAAATAGCAATGTATAATTTGAAAACAGTATAATTTTATAAATTGAAATGCTTATTAGATGTTGTCCTTATAAGTTATGTTGTTATGTTAATCCTGCCATTTAAAAAAAATGCAATGTAATGGTGCAAAATATACCCCAGAGAGGGGAGGCTAGTTCTGCTGTTTTTTTGCTCCAACTAATAATTAGCGGCGATCATAATAAATTGTTTCTTGAATTGGCTCGCAACCTTAATTACAAACTAATGTTACATAAGAGCTATTCACCTTATGGCATTCATAATACAAATACAGCTAGATCTCCGTTGAATGAAATCCAAGATACTGCCTTAACTGGAGATGTGTGACGGCAAGTTTATGCTGACCCTTATGTGGACACTATTGTCATAGCTGCCTGATAAAATCGTGAAAGTAATTATAAGCAAATAAAAGTAATTAATTATAATATATCAGAAATTGCAGTTTGATTTCTAGTTTTTACTTGCATTTTGTTTGACTCCATTTTTCCAAACATAAAAAGATTACCAACTCAATGGAGGCATTTCAAACTTCTACGAGCATACAAAGAATTGTTTACAATATATTATGTGCCAAATTCTATGTATGTAGCAAAAGTAAGAATCACTAATTTGGTAAAGATAAAGAAAAATGAGATTCAAAATGATTAAGCAACAGCAAAATAAGAGAATCACCTTTAAAATACATTTGTTGCACTAATACACTTCAATTAGACTCTAAAGTTTCTATCTTTGGTGTACCTAAGAAATTACATAATATACCCTTTGACCCTATTGACTTACAAATAAAAATATACCTTAAAAAATTTCGATAAACTGAACGCGTTTTTCTGCTTCTCTGCTGTACTGTACTCTCTACATCTGATTGAACTGTCACTGTCAAATGAACGCATGCGTGCGGAGAAGAGTACGTGTTTATTGAGAGATTTCTCAGTTTAGAATTTTTCTTAATTAAATTAAAAGTTAATTTCAAAAAGTAATCGGTACAATCATGGCAGAAGACAAAGTAGAAGCGCAGTTGCAAGTGCGATTTGTAACTAAACAAGAACAGTTAGTATCTAAACAATTCATTTACCGGCGTGGTGATAATTTGTTGGCAGATATGTTTTTATTCTGTAAATTTTTGCAGGTATGCTGTACCAGACAGTCCTTACGCTATTCAGAGTAACTACCAGCCCTCGGACTTGAATAAAGTGGTGAACGCTTTATTAAAGGAAACTAATGCTTCGGTAGAGAAGGCAGTAGAATTTGACTTTTTAGTATGCGGGGAGTTGCTCTGTTCGACTCTTGCAGAGCTTTTGCAAGAGAAGGGCATGTCAACGGAAGATACACTTGAGATAGAATACTTGGAAAGGTTCCCTGCACCTACACCACAAGATTGTTTGATGCATGATGATTGGGTATCTGCAGTTCAGGCACGTGACAACTGGTCAGTATACTTAAAATCGTAAAACAGTAAACAGTAAAAACAATATAAAAAAAAAATTATAGATATCAAAAAGTGCAAGCAGCTTTGAATTTTTTTTTAATTTTTATTTATAAGCACTAGTAAAGTACATTATAAATGCATTACAATCTAGTCAAATACAAGACTAATAAGTAGTTTACATTTCACTTAAACTAATAAATAAACAAATTATACTAAGAATTCACCCACTGGCAATTTTCTTATTATCTATTAAGGTGAAGACACTTTTATCATGTGTTCTTTTTATTCAGTGTCTCTGGCACTATTTAGTTTAATCATACACTAACACTACACTAGTTCAAATGGTTTTGTCCGTTTTAAATGTCTTATAATATCTGTGTGGTCAAGTCACTAAATGGCCTTGATGGCATACTTCTGAGCTGTCTTGTCTACAAATTTCATTTCCAAGTCTCGATGGAGGTCTTCGTTTCGTACGTACCAAGGTGCATTTACAATGTTCCTAAATACTTTGTTCTGAAAACATTGGATAATATTTATATTGGTCTTTGCGGTGCAGCCCCAGAGCTGTATACCATAGGTCCAGACTGGCATTAGGACCTTCCTATACAATAGTAGTTTATTGCTTAAAGATAGCGTAGAATGTCTGCCAAGCAGCCAATACATATTTCTGTAACAAATGTCTAGTTGTTCTCGTTTTTTCTTGATGTGGGCTTTCCAGTGAAGCTTGACGTCAAGTGTCATGCCAAGATATTTAGCAGTATTCTCATATGGTATTTGTTTGTTGTTGACAAATACCAGGTGATATATAGGTTTCTTACTGCTAAGTCTATATGTACTGACGTCTACTGATTCGTTAAGCTTAATGTGCCATATTTTAGTGCATTCGTAGAATACATTCAAAGATTGCTGTACTTTGGCTATAGTGCTGTTTTCTACCTCAATATTATATATTTTCGCACCAAATGCACAGAAAAAAGTGGGAATGAGGGGTAGGCGAGGGGAACCACCCACGAAGTTTCAAACTAACAATATTAATAGTTTTCGAGAAAAGAAATTGAAAAATAACCTCAAAATCATATATTTTGACGTTTAGTGCACACACGGACTCCAATATCTATCTATATCGATCCAATTTGTTTTTGCTCAGAAAGACTTCCGCGATTGTAATTTAAAAAACCTAACAATATTTATACACAACGAACAACAACATAAATACGCAGTAAAACACTGTAAATGGCTAAAATGCTTACCGTGAAAAGCCAAGAGAAATAAGAAAAAAAAACAAAAGCGATAAATGATGTTGCGTTTTATTGTTGAAATTACGAAATTGTTATTGAATTATCATTACTATTTCAAAGTAACCTTCTTAAGGAATAATATTTTAAATATAATGTAAATGCTATTAAATAAGTAATAGTGTTTTAAAAAACCAATAAAACACTTTCAAAATTTAAACAACACATGATACAATTACAGTGGAATGTCGAAACGCAAGACATTATTTTGCGTCAGCGTACTTTTTTGACGTAACTTTCGCATTAGGTAGTTGTCAAATGCGTTTTTTTGCTTTAATTTTCATGATTTTCAAAAATTATTTTCTCGAAAATCTTTAACGTCCTAAAAAAATTTGTGGGGTCCCTTTTGACTAGGTCTATCTCCAAAATTAATTTGAACGCCCAACTCGACGTCACGTATAATAAAGTTGAGCCTTTTCGTAGCCCCTCCCCATACATTTATGTCAAAATATATTATTCATTATATCATAGATTCCCAAACTTATTGGTCACACTGTCAACTTAGGCAAGATAAAAAATTTAAATGCCTACCACTACAAAAAAAAACATTGAAAACATGTATTTTTTATATTAACTTAACACAAAAAATCAAAAGAAAAAAGTTACATATTTGTAGTGCAGTTTATACAGAAAATTGAAGTTTTTTTTCAAATGTGGTAGCACCCCCTGCACAACATCAACGCCCCCAGTTGCTTCCGAGGCCCATTCTGCTCTCCTAAGACTTTTCAGCACCACCTGGGGACAGTACCACTTTGGGACACTATGCATTATATCATTCAAAAATGAAATCTCAAAAATTATTCATATCCTAAATTCAAAACTTCCCAGAGGAGTTTCCTCCCCCATACCTTAATTCTACATTAGGTATAGTAAAGTCCTACAATGCATACACAACACATATTTCTCCAAAATATCTGAATAATGATGAAGGACCAAATTGGTGATTCTTACTTTTGCTACATACATAGAATTTGGCACATAATATATTGTAAACAATTCTTTGTCTGCTCTTTTGAAGTTTGAAATGCCTCTTTTGGGTTGGTAATTTTTTAATATTTTGCAATTAGGATGATGTTTGGAAAAGTAAAGTCAAACAAAATGCAAGTAAAAACTAGAAATAAAAATGCATTTTCTATTATTTTATAATTAATTATTTTTGTTTACTTATAATATTAATTAATTTCAGGATTCTATCAGGCAGCTATGACAATAGTGTCCACATCTGGAGCACTAAGGGTCAACATAAACTTGCCATCCCAGGTCACACATCTCCAGTTAAGGCAGTGTCTTGGATTTCATTCAATGGAGACCAAGCAGTATTTGCCAGGTACACCTGATCACTACTAGCAAACCCATGGGGTGAATAGCTTTTATGTAACATTACAAGAGGAAAACAACTTGACAGTTTTGTATTATGTCTTGTTTGTAATTAAGGTTGCGGGCTAACTCAAGAAATTGTTTATTATGATCATCATCATCATCAGCCTATTGCAGTCCACTGCTGGACATAGGCCTCCCCTAATGCACGCCATTTCGCCCTGTTCTCGGCTTGACGCATCCATTTCCTGCCAGCAATCTTCCGCAGATCGTCACTCCATCTGGCTGGAGGGCGTCCCACACTACGTTTGCCAAGTCGTGGTCTCCACTCAAGAACTCGTTTACCCCAGCGGTTGTCGGTTCTTCGGCAGATATGTCCAGCCCACTGCCACTTCAGCTTGCTTATCCGAAGAGCTATGTCGATCACTTTGGTTCTCTGTCTGATAACCTCATTACGGAGTTTATCTTTCAGAGAAACTCCGAGCATAGCTCGTTCCATAGCTCGCTGAGCGACTTTAAACTGGTGGACTAGCCGTATCGTGAGTGTCCACGACTCAGCTCCGTACGTTAGAACTGGTAGGACGCACTGGTTGAAAACCTTTGTTTTCAAGCTCTGCGGGATGGGCGACGAAAAGACTCGACGTAGCTTCCCAAACGCTGCCCAGCCAAGCTGAATCCTCCTCCTGGCCTCCTTCTCGAAGTTATTTCTACCTAACTGCAGAATCTGCCCGAGGTAAGTGTATTCGGAAACAACTTCAAGAAGGTGGCCATCGACGCAGATGGGTCTCGGATCAATGTGGTCATTGATCATGACTTTGGTTTTATCAAAGTTCATGCCGAGACCAATCCGCCGCGAGGCGGATGCTAGGCTGTTCAGCATCTGATCCAGTTCCTCCAGCGATTCTGCCATTAGGACTATGTCATCTGCAAATCGCAAGTGTGAGATGTACTCGCCGTTTATGTTAATGCCCATCCTTTTCCAGTCCAGCGTCTTAAACATATCCTCCAATGCAGCGGTGAACAGTTTCGGGGATATGACATCCCCCTGTCTCACCCCTCTGCGTAATTGGATAGGTTCAGACTGCTGGTCCTGTACTTGGACACTCATGGTAGCAGCATCGTAAAGACATCTCAACACTTGTATATAACGATAGTCCACTTGGCACCGCTGTAAGGATTCCAGGACAGCCCAGGTTTCGACAGAGTCAAAGGCCTTCTCATAGTCCACGAAAGCTAAACACAGGGGCCGATTATACTCTTCGGACTTCTGTATAATCTGCCTCACTGTGTGTATGTGGTCTATGGTGCCATATCCTCCCCGAAACCCGGCCTGTTCCGGTGGCTGAAACTCGTCGAGTCTTCTTGCGAGGCGATTCGTGATGACTCTAGAAAACAGCTTGTAGACGTGACTCAGGAGTGAGATGGGTCGGTAGTTTTTCAGTAGAGTTTTATCTCCCTTTTTAAAGAAGAGAACTACAATACTCCTGTTCCACGCCCGTGGAGTTCTCCCGCAGTGAATGACCAAGTTAAAGAGCTTCTGAAGTTCCTGGATAATAGGAACTCCTCCAGACTTCAAAAGCTCCGAAGTAACTCCGTCTTCACCGGGGGCTTTTCCATTTTTAAGCTGTTTTAGAGCCAACACGATCTCGTCTTGACTGATTTCTGGCAGGTCGTCGGTATAGTGGCGCGTCAAGGTGGCTCTCAAATCGTGATTGTCACGCTGGACCCGAGGAGCATTTACAGCGTACAAACGGCCATAGAAGTCCTCTATCTCGGCGAGTATCTGCGGCTTTGACGTAACGGTTAGGCCATCGTGCGTTGTAAGCTTCGTCAGGTGGCTCCTTCCAAGCTGCTGAGTGAATACTTTGGACCCTCGGTTTCGCTCTATCGCCTCCTCAATGAGGCGTGTATTGGAACTCCGAAGGTCACGCCGTACCATCTTCGCAATCTGCTTGTTTAGGTATGACCTCTCTGACGAAGTGGCCTGGATGTCATCGCGTCTTTTCGTCATAAGTCGCAGAGTCTCATCCGAGAGTTTAGACTTCTTTCCCGTACGCTGCAATTGACAGAATTTGATGCCCTCGCTTCTCAGCGTCCCAACCACGCTTTGTAGGGCCTCGTCAACGTCCTCGGTGGGTTTCAGCTCGACGAATCTCGCTTCGAGAAGTTCATGGAACTTCTCGGAGCCCGCCATGATCTGGAGTGGATTAGGACGGAGCGTGGACTTCATCAAGCGGCTTCTTTCAAGTTTGACATCGATATTCAGAGAGCCTCGTACAAGTCGGTGATCAGATCCGGTGCTAAACCTGTTGATCACTGAGACATCTCTGAATATGTGTCTCTTGTCCGTCAGGATGAAATCGATCTCATTTTTAGTCACAGCGTCGGGGCTTCGCCAAGTCCACTTCCTTTGAGGCTTCTTCTTGAAGAACGAATTCATCAAGAAGAGTCCCTCGTGCTCGAGGAAGTTGACTAGCGTTTGCCCCCTGTGATTCCTTACTCCATAACCATGCGGGCCGACTCGAGACTCGTCAAGATTTGGGAATCCCACTTTAGCGTTAAAGTCCCCCATAACAACTATTATTATTATGATCGCCACTAATTATTATTTGTAGCAAAAAAAAAAACAGCAGAATTAGCCTCCTTTCGCTGGGACATATTTTGCACCATTTGTTGGGATTTTTTTTTTAAATGGCAGGCTGTAGGTGTTAATCAACATAACTTATAAGGACAACATGTAATAAGCATTTCAATTTGTAAAATTATACTGTTTTCAAATTATTCATTGCTATTTTTAATATATTTAAATGTGCTTCACAAGACTTCATTTAAAATATATACAGGCTGTATATTTGAAAGAGACATATTCATACATGTCATAGTAAATCATGTTACAACTTAACATAGACTAAAATAAATTAGGATATGGGATAGAACAAAAAATAAATCGACAAATCGACAAAAGTGTACATAGGAATAAACATTTCCCTTTACGCTTGATTTCGAGTGCAATAATAATAATAATAATAACGTTTATTCCTCCACAAAAATACGTACATATAGTTCTTAGTAATTAAGATACATCCAATAACTTATTTTTGGGAGCTGGTGCTTGTTAAAGGCTTAACGCCTGTACTACAAGTCACCAGACTCTCACCCTTGGAAATGACACATGACAATCTTAAGGTATTACTAAGATTAATTGTTTATAAAAGAAAAACATTTAAATAGCGAAAAAATACATTTGACATTATTGTACTATATTGGGAATACTATCAAGCAAGCACCGAGTGAGACAGCAACAATAACAATGATTTCACATTTACGTTTTAGCTTATGTTAATTATATTTTACTTGAACTATCATCGAAATGTTTTACGTACTAAAAAAAGATAAGTTTATGATTTAGTAACTAGTTATCATTTAATAGGAATTAAGGTTTGTGGCGTAGTTAAAAATGTGAAATGAAATTATTTACAATGATTGATTTTTTAGTTATTTACAGTTTATTTACACTTACGTGGTACGAAGCAAGTGTTCAAAATGTCCACCGTTTTCCACAATGCATAGTCGAGCACGGCATAGTAAATTTTGTTTTAAATTGTACAACACAAACATATTTTGTCTCACAGTATGAAATGCTGAGATAATCCTCTTACGCAACACTTCGACACTGTTCACCTCCTCCGCGTAAACTCCGATTTCGGAACATTTCAATAGCTTGCCTCACTCTATCACCACTTATTGCGTAAAGTCGCACCATCTCAGTCAATTCGACTTTAGAATAAATATCCATTTTGCGGCGATTGGGCGAGCGGAAGTACAAATAATTTACGTGTCTTCGTTAGATCAAGGTCGCGCGTGCACTGTCTGAAGTTTCGCGTATGCGCCCGCGCCCCCACCCCCGACCCGTGCTTTGTTTTTCGCCGCCGTGCCGCCACCCGCCGCTGCGTCGGAGCAATAATAGTGATGTGCATAGATTTCGATAACTAATGATGTTCTCAAGAAGTAGTCGATAAAAAAAAAAAAAATATTTTTTGTAAAGTTTAAGTTCATTATTTCTATGGGGTCAGAATCAGGAATATAACGCACTCTATAAGTATGTCCCACTTTCAAATATAAGGCCTGCATAACTGAAAAATCGTAAACAAGTTTTTCACTCTTTGGCAACAATATGTATGTATAAAACATTTGCAATAGCAATCGCACAACATTTAAATTTTGAGGCTACCTTAATATCTCTTACGTAATATCACAATAGAAACAAAAAATTGGACAGTTGTGTATTATGTCTTGTTTGTAATTATTATTAAAGTGCTCGGGCTAACTCACGTAATGTTTAATTATGATCACCACAAATTATTATTTGGAGCAAAAAAAAAACAGCAAAATTAGCGTCCCCTCGCAGGGGCATATTTTGCATCATTTGGGTGAGTTTTTTCCTAATAGCAGGCTGTAGGTGTTAATCAACATAACTTTTAAGGACAACATGTAATAAGCGTCAATTAGTATAATTATCCTGTTTTCAAATTATACATTGCTTTTTTAAATATATTTATGTGTGTTTCACAACACTTCCCTTAAAAACATATAACTGAATGTCGTAAAAATGAGCCTTTCACCCTGTGGCAACAATTTGTATGTTTAAAATGTTTACAATACATGCACACATGTAAATATTGTATGTATGTATATATACACAACCACAAATAACAATCATAAATAAAACCTTGTTTTTTGGTTTAATACATGGTTGGCTATAATTTCAAATGAGAGCTACGATAACTTGTTCTATTATACTATTTATTTCTTACATTTTTAGTGCATCACATGACCAATCAGCAATGCTTTGGGTGTGGAATGTTTCCGGCAATTCAGTGGACTGTGTAGTGACATGTCGTGGACATGACAAGGGTGTGGAATGCCTTGCTGTTTCTGCAGATGCTAACCAGTTTGCAACAGGCAGCTGGGATAATAATATCTGCTTGTGGAGTACAAGTGAGTTTTTAATGCGGTTATAATCAAACAATGACTATTCGTGACATTGAAAGCGAATATACAAGTGTAATAAAAAAACCGGTCCATGTTTCAGTTCTATTTGTCATACTCGTAAATACATACTTTAGGAAATTTAATTTAATCTGACTCTAAAATTACCCGCTGATAGCAATATTTTTGGTATAAGCAACTGTCCGTTGTAAGCAAGTTGAGCCAGATACAATATTTTTATTTTGAAAACCAATTACTACTTTTGAAACATTTGCAATCAAAAGGATATGCCAACATATGGATATTCTAAAAGTAGGGATGCTTGCGTCGCAGTATAAATAAAACCTGGCTGTCCAGCATTTTACTAGTACTACAAAAAGAAACTAACCTTCTTCACTCACACAATGTCCTTATCGAAACCTTACGTCATTCACACAATGTCCAAATTAGTTTTTTTTTCAGTTTAGTTGGTACAAATTGTGGGTATGTACAGTTAAATTGTACTTAGAGTAGAAAATGTACACTTTATTGCTTTATTACTTTATGTGAAATATATATATATATATATATATATATATATAATAATAATTTGTTTGTTGTAATAGCATTACATATGTATTTTAGGTCTCTCTGATGAAGATAATGCACCAGTCAAGAAGAAAAGCAAACCAGAGCATGGAAACACTAGAGTGAGTACAAATGATTTATTTCTGCAAATGTAGGTTAAGTATTTAATTACCAGTGATTAGAATATAATATTACAGAATATTTTGTAATTTTTAAATAATAAAACAATTAATAATTATAAATATCTTTTTTATACTTTAGTGAGTATTTTAAATTTTACGAATAATATAAGAGATACAAAACTGAGAATCAGCCTGTATAATTATGTTCTTCCAAAGAAAATAGTTGGCTTGATAATTTCGAATCTTGTATTCCGTGCATTATCATAACAAATATAGAAGTAACTAAAATAAGATTGGCCACTGGCCTCAACGGTTACCATGCTGGTCTGTCACACAAAGGTAAAGGGCTGGATTCCCGGGCTAGGAGAAATATTTGTATGGCCTACAGTTATATCTCTCGTGAGTTTGGGTGTAATTTGTGGTCGTCTACCTATGTGTTTGTCCACGGCTCCCGCTATACAGGGATAGGGAATCCGGTGGAAGTGAGGGCTAAGAGCATGAACGTTAAGGTCTTGACAATTTTCCCTACGTGCGCTTATTGTCGATATACTTATTGTTATTGACGCTTTATACAGACTTATACATAACACAATTTTTTGTTTTTGGCAGGAACCCCTGACAACGTTGAAAGGCCACAGAGAAGCGGTATCCGGAGTTCAGTGGATGGATTTTAACACAGTGCTTTCTAGTAGCTGGGATCACTTACTTAAGATTTGGGATTGTGAACTTGGTGGTATCAAGCAGGACATTGCTGGTTAGTATACTTATTGAAGATAAATTTGTGACCCTGAAATATGACACGCGTTGTATGAGTGTGATTTATGAAATATAATGTGATCTGTATATACAGAACTTGATCTATTCGTCAGCGCCTGAGCAGCTACAGGCATTAAAAAAGAACCTTAACAGCGATGATGGTGTTGAGTTTTAGCATTAATGTTTGCGCTTTTTATACAATGAATTAGTTCTTTGAAACTTCGTTATACAGGGTGGAAATTTGAGACGGGTAGCAAGGGCAGCTACCTTAACCGTCGTAACTACAGGGAAATTGTTGTAGAAGACCTTGAATTTTGAAGATATTATGATTGGTATTCAGATTTAAAAAAAAAACAATACAGTCTGCAAAGTTACGCAAATTTCACTAAACTTTTTCTTGCCATTCAATCCTAATTCTGGTAAGGATCAAAAAGCTATGGAACTGAGGTAAGATTACTTACTAGAAATGACACAAATCGCAAAATAAACTCACTACCATTTTTTCAAAATCTGTGAACGCCCATCGAAATATCTTTAAAATTCATAAACAGTGTTATAGAACCGTTTTCCTGTAGCTAAGACAGTTAAGGTAGCTGCCCTGCTCATCTGTAATTTCCACACTGTATATGGCAAGGAGTTAAAAAATCTTACTTGTCGGCCTGAAAAGTTATACATAATGCTTTATTTAAGTTAGTTGGTCAGGCAAAATTGTTGTAATCGAAATTAAAGCCAAATCCGAAGACATTTTCCGTACATTCATCACATAAAAATAGGCAACATTAATACCTTGATGTTACTAATACCTACCTACTTCTTGATAGATGTGGCACTTATTTGAATAAATAACATGTTATTTTGTACATTTGCTTATCTGACATGCGTGTAAATTGTTTTTAAGGTAATAAAGCGTTCTTCGACGCGGATTGGTCTCCTTTAAACAACAGTATTATAACAGCATCTGCAGATCGTCACATACGCCTCTACGATCCTAGATCTACAGGTATTCCATAGTAAATTAATCTAATACTGTATATCTGTGTCAAAGATACCTTTTTAATTCTGCTTGAAGGAACATAGAAAAGGATCTTTTTCTACTGATAGACCTAAACACGCATATATATATATATATATATGTATATATATATATAAACATGTAGGTCTAT